GCTTGTTTTTATTTGAGGGGAGGGGGTGCGGTTCAAGGCATAGTAAGCCATGCCCGGGGTTTACTCCTGGCTCTGCACTTAGGGATCATTGCTGGAGGGGCTCAGGGCACCCTTTGTGGTGTGGGGGGTGGGGTGTGGTTGAATTTAGGTTGGCGGATGCATGGCAGTGCCCTACCCACTGGATTATCTCTCCAGCTCACACCAAGATTTCTTCCCCCCAGCCTCAGAACTTCCTCAAGGTTTGTTTGATCCAGCCTTACTTCACATACTATTCTTCTGCAAAGTCTGTGCCTTCAGTTCCTGCTTGACTTGCCATTTGTTGGGGACAGAACCCAGACATCCTAGCTATAATATGAAAGTGTCCTTGCATCCCCCTTCCCCAACCCCACCAGTAGCTATTCCAGATTGGCAGGCAACCATTTCTAGAGAAAATGACACAGGAGTCACTGTTGGGGGCAAGCGTGATGGGTTTCCCACCCAACTCCCAGCCAAGTCCCCAAGTGTTGCAGAGATATATTTTTTTTTCTGGTTTTTTTTTTTGGGGGGGGGTTTTGATTTTTATTTTATTTTTTTTTGTTTTTTTATTAGTGAAAAACCATGAGGTACAGTTATAGGCTTACAAATTTTGTGCTTGGGTTTCAGTTATACAATGATCAAGTGCCCATCCCTCCACCAGTGCCCGTCATCCATCCCCACGGGTCCCAGCATCCCCCCCCCCTCATCCCCCCCCCACGTCCCATCCTACTACAAGGCAGTGTTGCAGAGATATTAAGTGTTTTCAGTCCCCACATCATTCCTGGTAGCTCCATTGCAGTTTCTGAGAAATCACATTCCCTGAGTGGGAGGAGAGAGCTCTGACTCTCTCGGCATTTCCAGAGGATGGAGCTATGCCAGGTCCAGCTGGAGGGGCAATGGGGATCATGTAGTTTTGATTGTCTTCTCCCATTAGAGGAGCTGTCAGCAATGGCTGCCCCCTTGCATACGGCAGTTCCCGGAAGTGGGCCCTGTGCAGTTGGCAGGTCAGTATCACACCTTCTTGTTTGTCTTGTCCTTCCTCGGGACACCCCCTTTCTCCTCCACCCTCTTGGAACACTCCCCAGGAACAAGGAGTTAGGATTCCAGTGTAACTTCTCTCAGGTTGTTTACTTGTTATATTTCCCATGGCAGGAAAAAGACTTGCTCTCCTCTTCTGTTTGCTCCTTCACACCAAGTTTTGAGGACTCTGATGAAAGAAGGTAGGTCTTTTTTTTTTTTTTTGGGTCACACCTGGCGATGCACAGGGGTTGCTCCTGGCTCTGCACTCAGAAATTACTCCTGGCGGTGCTCAGGGGACCATATGGGATGCTGGGAATCGAACTCGGGTCAACCACGTGCAAGGCAAACGCCCTACCTGCTATGCTATTGCTCCAGCCCCAAGAAGGTAGGTGTTAGTCATACTTCTTTTTCCTGTCCCTGTTTAGACTACTGCCTCCATTATATTCTAAGCATAGTGTTAGAAACAAGAATCATATATACTTGTCTGTAAAATATCATATAATTTATCATTAAAAAAATTTGAGAGCCAGTGGGACAGTACGGTGGGTAGGGCTTAGCCCTTGCATGTGGCCAACCTAGCAATTCCTGGCATCTCAGATGGTCCCCTGATCACCATCAGGAGTAATCACTGAGTGCACAGTCAGGAGTAACCCCTGAGCACTGCCAAGTGTGCCCCCAAAACAAAACAACCCCCCAACCTAAAAAAAACCAATAGCATTTTAAATGTTAGCTTTTCTAGATCTCTTACTTTTGGTCTCATATAATGAAATTCCACTTGGTTTAGACTGGAGGATGCTGAACTACTAATTGATAAATGGCTAAGGAAAAAGCACTTTCAGTTTGTCTGTAATATTGATAGTAATGGTGTTTCAGATCATACTAATTCACGGGCTTGCAATAAGGATTTTTTCACAGGCAGTAGATATGTTTTTGCTGATTCACAATGTATCAGGCTGAGTAGCTGGATTAGAGTTTCAGGGATAATCAGCCCCCAGTCCACTTTAATGTGCTGTTAAGGCAGGTCCCTGCTCTTTTGCTTGACTTGTGAGCACTAAGATGGATCAATGTATCATTGACTTTAAGGTAATCCCTTCTGCTGGTGGAGCACACGATCCAAGGTATGTAAGTCAGGGTTTAGTTGCAGTAGGAAAACCATTAGGAAACACTAGGTAATGGATTCGTTACAGAAATTTGGCATTACGTAGTGGGAGCTGGCTCAAGCCCAATATCAACAGGGCAGGAAGTCGGGGAGATATGATGGAAGATAAAGTGAGACAAAGACAATTTTCAAGGTAGAAAACTTCTGTCTGCACCTCCAATACTGCAACTTGGATAATGAGGGGTGAGAATTCAGGAGTATTCAGGCCGTCCCCTTCATGGCTAAAGAGATGCTGAGCCCTGAAACCAGAAAAGCTGAAGATACAGCCAGGAAGTTAGTAAATCAAAAGCATGTGAGCTGCCACAGGGCTCCGTGTCCTGCACTCCTTCACTTGTTCTATAAATCTCAAATGTCTCTTGCTACCCACATTCATAATAAACACTTGAAAATTGAGTTGGGCCTTAGCAAAGTTGACAAACACAAATTTAAGCACCTTAAAGACCAATGTTTTCCCTATTTCACATTGGCCTCAAATCAGTACGGAAACATACTGTACCCCGGGGGAAGAAGAGAAGTGAAAATTCATTGCACAGTAATCACACTCCCACACTTCCACATTACTAATGAAAGACATAATAGTCTAAAGTAGGAGTATCCATAGATGTATTAGCTACGTTCTCCTGTCCAGCGTGAAGAGACCTGTATGAGACTGAGGCTGAGATGAGGAAGCAGTTTCCGGGGCTCAGGGATAAAGCCACAGCTATGGTCAAAGACTGATTACTTGGTAGACAAGAGGAATACGGGAGCTGGAGATCTAGAGTACAAGGGTAAAGACACTCGCCTTGCATGTGGCCAAGGCTGGTTTAATCCCTGCCACCACATTTGGCCCTCAAAGCACTGCCAAGAGCCACCACTAAACACAGAGCTAGAGGGAGCCTGAGCAACGCCAGATGTAGCCCCAACTCCCTCCTGAAAGGAATACTGCCAACCTAATGCAGCCTTGAGGAAGGCAGCAAGAGAGTCTTCGTGGCTTCACTCTCTTCCCCGTCCCCAGTGTCCTTCATCTTTTATTGGCTGTGGCTCTGCTTCTATGGAGGTTGGTAGTGGTAAAGTGGAGAGGATAAAAGCTTAGAGAAAGTAAGAGATTCCTGGAGGAATATACCTAGTGGACATTTCCATCACTTATAAACACAGGGTTGGTCATTGGAAAGGGTAGGAGCTAGACAATGCGAACGCAGGTGTAAACTATACAACGGTAAGACATGAAATGGCACAAGTGGGAAAGGAATGCACTGCATTGAGATGGAATTTTGAGTCCCTGGGAAGGAAATGTGCACACACAGGGGAGATCGATTACAATCTCAGGGTTTAAGGAGGGCAGTGACATCCGGTGGGTGACTGCTAACACTCAGCTAGGAAAGGATTGTGACCCTCTTATCATTGGTCTTCTGATAAGAAGCTCAGGCAATTACCCAATAGTCCAAAGCGCTCTTTACTGACAAAGGAAGACAAGAAATTCTAATACTAGGATCTGTCAGAGGCGGGGGTGGGGGGAATCAAATTCCAAATAAAAGGAAGTTGAATTTTCTTCTAACAGTTTTAAGATACCTGGTAAATGACAGTAATGGCTTTACACACAGTAATTTGTGCTTTCTACATTTTCAGATTCTCCAGCAATTAATCTTCATGGAATCATTTTATATGGTATCACTGACATTTAATGAACACTAGGGGCATCCTGTCTCTCAGAGAAGATGCCTTAGGTCATAGTTGAATTTGACTAGTTGTCGTTGCCAGACATCTTCCCAGATTGGTTCCTGGTCATAGCAGATTCCCGGCCTGACCTTCTGCCGATTTCCTCCCAATCACCCATTGAATGTGGCTGGTCTGGTATGATGGAAGTTGTTCCGTACACGAGGTCTTCCTAAATAATCTTTACTTTTGGAGGGCTTTTGAGTAAATGCTCATGTTCACCTGACCTAATTTCTAGCTAAGCACTGGAACAAAAATGCTCAAATTCTTCTGCAGTGTCGATTCTCAGGTGGAGATTTAAATTTGTCTCTGCCCAAACAAAGACTTTGCCACACTCTACTCTAATAAAGCCTTTTCTTGCCATGAAGTCACTGGCACTGCGTGCATGGTAGGGCTTTTCAATGTATGGGTGGGTGGGTGGGTGGGTGTTACATATCTTGTACATGGGTGGGGAGTATGTCCTTGTAGAGTATATGCACTTCAGGCTATATGCAGCATTTCCCCATAATCATATTTATGTTGTCTCATTAACTATATTGATATTCAAATTCCGGTCAGATTAGATTATTTTGGCCCCATACCTGAGCCACATCTGGTGGTACTCAGGGCCTACTCCTAGTTCTGAGCTCAGGGATTAGGTCTAGCGGGACTCATGGGACCACAGGGATGCCAGGGATTGAGCCTGGGTCAGGTTGATTGTGTGCAAAGCAAATGCCCTACCTGCTGTACTATTGCTCTGGCCCTTGCCACATTTTTATGAAACTTTTTCTCCATGATAACTTCTCTGATGAGATCTGGGTTTACACTGAAAAGCTTTGCAGGTTAAAGATACTCGGAGGCTTTCCTCCAGTTGGAAATGCTTGTTTATTCAGGATAGCCTTCCTGCCAGTTCTCTTTGTTCCCCCAGGTTTTTGGGGTACACTCCTGGTGATGCTCGGGTATTACTCCTGGCTCTTCCCTAATATTCCTTATTCATGCTCCTATGATAGTCTTACTCAGGAGGAATATTTTTGGACCAGTGACTTTCTAGTTCATATTGAGGGGAAATGGAAGGATAAAATCATGAACTGTGACAGAACTAAACTCAGGGCAAATTTTCTTAGATGTTTGAAGTCCCTTTATTGGAGTGATATTCTCAGAGGCCTGATGCAACAAAAGTTGTGCTGCAGACTCCTTCCTCCCTTGGGTTAACGATTCAGAAGCTCATCACACTGTCCAGCATGAAGTCCATAAGAATGCTCCCATTTTGATCTCTGGTCATCTTCCTCTGTGTTGAACTTCTAGAAAACTCTGCTGGATATGGACTCCTGCTCAGGACTCACCATCTGAAAGAACAGGTTGGTCATGTAATTAGCATTGTTTCCCCAAATGCAACCTGAGAGTATCCTATAAAGAGACACTACCTAGACACTGTCAAAATAGCAAGACACACTTGTTCTTTCCAGAAATTTCTGCTCTCCAGCTATAGCCTGCCTTTCTTTCTTTCTTTCTTTCTTTCTTTCTTTCTTTCTTTCTTTCTTTTTTGTGTCACACCCAGCAATGCTCAGGGGTTACTCCTGGCTCTGCACTCAGGAATCACTCCTGGTGGTACTCTGGGGACCACATGGGATGCCGAGGATTGAACCCGGGTTGGCCGCGTGCGGGGCAAACGCCCTACCTGCTGTACTATTGCTCCAGCCCCACTTTTGCCTTTTTTTCAAAATTTCTCACCTGAAAGTACCTGGAAGAGTAGTCTTAATACATAGAAGGAAATAGTAGTAGTAGTAGTAGTAGTAGTAGTAGTAGTAGTAATAGTATCACTAAAACTGAAAATATAAGGGACTGAGATCTCCTGTAAACAAAACATATAAAGTGGCAGATTAAAAAAGACACCATCACATCAATAAAGCTTTTTACTGTCTACTCAAAAAATTATAAAAAAAACTCAAAGCTGAAAAGGATGTCAGTGAATATCTGGTCTGCATCCCCTGTTTTTTTGTTCTTTTGGGCCGCCCTTGGCAAGTGCCTTCCACCTTCCTGCTTTACTATCTAGCCCCTCTCCTATTTTTAAGAATGTAGATACTTGGCCAGAGAGATAGTACAGTGTGTAGGACACTTGCCTTGCACGTGATCAATCCCACCTGGTACCCAGAGCCAGGAATGATCCCTAAGTGCAGGAATTAGGCCTGAGTGCCACTGGGTGTGGTCCCCCAAATAAAAACATCTGATCCTATTAACCAAAACAAACTCCTTTATGATACGGTTTCTTTTGCTTCTTGGAGGGGGTCACAATAGGTGGCACTCAAGGGCTTCTTTCAGCTTGATGCTTGGGGTTCACTCCTAATGGCACCAGGGGCCCCCGCATGCACTCCAGCCCTCTGAGCTGTCTCTACTGTGCTCTGTTTAAATAGCTTTACCTCACAGATGTCGGAAAACTGCATTCTCGGAAGGAGATGGGATTTCAGACCCTTGGTCAGTCCTTAGGCTGATGGAGCAATTTTCGTTGACTTGTCACTTCTTACATTCCAAGGGACACACATCAATTTAAAACAGTAATGTTTTCTACCCTCTTTTTTCGGTGCTAACTTCTGAGACACACAAAAAGTCCTCTGGTCTACCTTCCCCACAGGGGTCACTGCTGACACTTCTCTTTGGCGTGGACTTTCTGGTGCTTCGTAAGATTTGAACTCCCGCGGAACGCTTTTCCACACTCGTCACACTCGTATGGCTTCTCTCCCGTGTGGATTCTCTGGTGGTGGATGAGGGTTGATATCTGGCTGAACGCCTTCCTGCATTCTCCACACTCATAGGGCTTTTCCCCGGAGTGAATCCTCTGGTGGTTAATCAGGGCGGAGTTCACATAGAAGGCCTTCCCACACTCCTTGCACTCATACGGCTTCTCTCCCGTGTGGATTCTCTGGTGTTTGATGAGGGCGGAGCTCACGCTGAAGGCTTTCCCGCACGCGTCACACGCATAAGGTTTCTCTCCAGAGTGGATTCTCTGGTGTTTGATCAGGTCCGAGCTCACGCTAAACGCTTTGCCGCACTCGTTACACTCGTAGGGTTTCTCGCCGTTGTGGACCCGCTGGTGGATGATGAGGTGCGCCCTCACGCTGAAGGCCTTCCGACACTCCTGACAGGTGTAGGGCTTCTCGCCAGTGTGGATTCTCTCGTGCACGGTGAGGGTGGAACGCACGCTGAAGGCTTTCCCGCAGTAGTCACACTCGTACGGCTTCTCGCCCGTGTGGATTCTCCGATGCCGCACAAGGCCTGAGCTCTGGGCAAACTTCTTCCCACATTCGCTGCATTTATAGCGTCTTTCTTTGGAGGGTGAGTCCTGATGGTCTCCCAGCTGGCCCACGTACTCAGGAATCTGCAAAGGATCCCCATCATATATGCAAGGAACCTTTCCTTGCGGCTCCATCCTTACAAATACCTCCCCTTCAGAACAGATGCTTGTTCATCCCTCTGGCCTCAATTCCTAGGGGAGAAAAAAAAATAAGATCTCTCAAATGTTATTTCCTGCTGCCGAAGCAAACTGATGTCGCAGAGACTTAACTGCCACTCACACACTTTCAGCCACCCCAGGACACCCCTATCATGTGTCAGTCAGGTCAAATGTTTGGATTCCGTCTGGACCAAAGCAACATCACAAATGTCCCCAACTTGAATGGGAACATAAATCTACTTTTTGTTGTTTTTAGGCCACACCCGGTGGTGTTTGGGTCTTATTCCAGCACTGGCTATTCACTCAGGATCACTTCTGGTGGGCTCAGAGGACCATGTGGGCACCAGGGATTAAGTCTGGATTAGCTGCATGCAAGGCAATACTTTAGCCACTGTTCTATGGCTCCCTGGCCCCTACATCCCAAGTACAGAATCGAGGATACAAATGTATACAAAAATAATATATAGTTGCAACTTTACACAGCCTCCGGGGGAGAAAAAGAAACCCTGCCTCTTGCTATGACAGTCTCTGGGCAACAGGGCTGCTTGCTTCCTTTGAAAACTCATCAGAATAAACCACCTCCGCACCAGAGAGTCCCGTCAGCCCATTCCAGCTTTGGGATTGAGATCAGCAAGTGAAGAAATTGTGGGTCATTGTCACTTTCTTATCCCTGGAGAACAAAATCAATTTCTGCCTGCAAACTTGATGAAACTTTTGCCCCAGACTCAAATTATACACATTACCCTCCCCCCCGCCCCTTTCCCATTTACACATCCTACTATGTCTCCAGAGTGATAAGTGAGGTTGACAATATTTCTCTGGATATGGTAAGGTTTCCTCCCTGTGGCTGTGCTAAACCCTGGAGCCTCAGTATAATAATAAAGAAGCATTAATTACCTCACCAGGGCTGGAGCGATAGCAAAGCGGTAGGGCGTTTGCCTTGTGCACAGCCAGCCTGGCTGAGCCGGATTCAATTCCTCCGCCCCTCTCGGAGGGCTCGGCAAGCTACCGAGAGTATCTTGACCACATGGCAAAGCCTGGCAAGCTACCCATGATGTATTCGATATGCCAAACACAGTAACAAGTCTCAAAATGGAGACATTACTGGGCCCGCTCAAGCAAATTAATGAACAACGGGGAGGACAGTGACAGTGACAATTACCTCACCGAAGTGACAGTCTACAAAAAGACCCTGACAAATATTCCTCAAAAGGGTTATGGCTTACAAAAGCAAGTGTCAAAGTCAATTCACAGGGAGAAGGGAAGCCTAGATGGGTTCCTGGCATTAGGGGAAAAGTGATGGACATAGGAATGAAGTAAGGCCCTGAATAATAAGCACTAATAAAGTGACATATTAGAACAGGGTAAACCAGATTATGGGGTAAACATGACCCTGTGGCTTAAGCTTTACAAACTTTGTATACAATTCTGAGCCCAGAACCTATTCAAGAAATTTCATTTGAAATTTTGTCTACAGGGCAGATATGGCTTAATGGTAGGGTGCGTGCTTTGCAGGAGTGAACCCTGGGCTGGACCCATGGCCACACACACACAAAACTGTTGGGGGGTAGGTGGGGGAGAGGAATGTCTGTTTCGTGTAGGTCATAAGCATTCAGATGTTAGTGAGTAGAGAAGAGAAGGTGGGCAGACAGAAAAGCTGGGAAAGTTCCTGCCTTGTGTGCTTCCAACTGGGTTCAATCCCTGGCACCTGATAAGGTGCCGTGAGCATGCCAGGAATGCCACCTCACCCCCCACCCCTAAAAAAAAGATACAGAGAAGTCCTGCTGCCAGCGGGCACCCCCCTCTCAGATGCCCACCTCGACAGGTAGCTCTTCTAGTTCTTGTGATTTCCAGGTTTTCTTTTGGCCGTAGAAACAGACTGAGTGGAGTCACTATGTCACAAACAAAATGAAGAGAGTCCCTGCAGACGCACAAAGGTGAACAAAGACAGAGGCGAGAACACTGTGTACCCCTCTGCAGAGGGGTCCAGTCAACCCCAGATACCATGTCTGTTCATACAGCCTGGGCTGTCCCATTCCCTAACTCAGCTACATCGGTCCAAGGAAGATCTTTGCGGCACTGAGGAAGGCTCACTCTGCGGTGGCCATACATTCATGAATTCTTGCTCAAAGGCCAGAAACAGTCACCAAAGGGGTTTGGGGGCCACACCTGGCAGTTCTGAGGGGGCTACTCCTGGCTCTGCACTCAGGAGTGACCCCTAGCATAGGTGGTGGCCGGGATTTGAACCAGGGTCACGGTGCCTGCCGTCCTGTGCACTATCTCCGCAGTCCAGACATGTACATTTTCGGTTTTTATTGTTGCTCTTGGGCCACACTTAGCTGTGTTCAGGGCTTAGTCCTGGCTCTGCCAGGCTCAGGAATCCCTCCTGGAGGGCTAGAGCGAGACAGTCTAGTGGGGAGGGCGGTTACCTGGCATGGGGTCTGACCCAGGTTCCACCCGCAGCATCCCATATGGTCCCACCATGCCTAACTCCTGAGTGCAGAGCCAGGAGTAAACCTGGAGCATGGACGGGGTGTGATCAAAAAAAAAAAAAAAGAAAAAGAAAATCTATCTTTTGGCTTAGCATTTTTGCTCTTTAACGGCGCTCGGCAGCGCTGGGGGAGCAAAGCCTGGGCTCGGGTGGGCGAGCTCTGTCCAGTCCGGGCTGCCGTTTGTTTAAGTCACAAACGTTCAGAGAGAAAGAACCTCTGCAGCCCTGGGGGGAGGGCGAGGGGAGGGGCCGGCCACCGCAGTGCGGACCCCCGAGAAAGGAGGGGCGTAACACTGGCTTCCCCGGTGGGGCAAGGGGCGGTTATTTCCAGAAGCCCCCCACCCCCCAAAGTGCCAAAGGCCCCTCTGTGGGGTGACACAGAAGGGACCGAGCACGCCCCCTCCCGCAGAGCCCACCCGCCCAGTCCCGTCTCCCAGGGTCCGTCGTGGGGGTTGGACGGGAAAGGGGCGAGGATAGCTGAGACGGGGCGGGGGTGGGGGGCGCAGGGTTGTGATGATGGGGAGGAAGGGGGCAGGGCGCGGTAGGTCGGGGGCCCTTTGCCCTCCCCTACAGCCGATCCCCCCCAGACCACACCGGAAAGACCAGAACAAAAAGGGGGACTCACCCCAAAAGGTAACCAGGCGAACCCACAGACCTGGGCAGGCCAACTCGGGGCCCGGGAGGTCAACTTCCGGGGACGCACCCTTGGGACACTGCGGGGGGCGGCGGGAGGGACGCTCTAGGATCTTGGAGGCTTCCCTCTCAGTGGTTTGTGAGGTGACAAGGCAAGGATTCTATTTACTCCCAAGGCAACTGGTATCTATTTTAACTTTTTTTTTTTTTGCCCCTCCAGCGACTTATCACTGGTTCACAATGTGGAATTTCAAGGATTTAGCATCCCACCTCTACATTGGGTGTCATTATCACCAAGGCGCCAAGTTCCAGGGCTACTCCCCCAGCAAAGAGCTCTGGGCTCCTTTCACCCACCTGCCAGCTGTCAGCTTTCCTGGAAGTTAGGAAGGAGCTTTGCCTTTCCAGCCAGTGTTTGCTGCAGTTAATGAGATCCCACCTAAGAGTGAAATCATGAGCTGATTGTCTTGCACTTCCTTATTTCCTTTAACCTAACCCCCTGAAGGACCTTTGCTGTCTGTTTTGGAGGGCACCTGGCAGCCAGTGCTCAGGGCTTGCTCCTGACAGCTCAGGGATCACTCCTGGCAGTACTGGGAACCATATGGGGCAGAGGTTAGAACCCGGTCAGCACCTTACCTACTGCACATCTCTCCGGCTCCAAGAGCCATTACAGAGCTCCACGTACAGAATGTGTTAGAAAATACAGAAAATGATGTCATTATTCCTAAAGCCAGCATTTATTTATAAGGTGTGGACCAACACAAGAAAGCAGTCTAGTTTGTCAGCATATACATATCAAAATCGACCAAGTCTAGGGTTGTTCTTTTTAAATCTGCTTAAGTACTACTGAGCTAGGAACCAGTTTTTCTTTTTTAAATAAAACAGGTTTTAAGAAAAATATAAATCACTTTTCCTCCTCCTATTTTTATCTGGCAAAGTACTCGCGGGCTTGTAGTTTCCTTGGGGAGTTGTTATTACTGCCTGCCCAACAAAGCTGAGTGTCACGATCATTTCCCAAAGCCCAAAATCTACCCCCCACCCCCACCCGCCTCCGCTAAAACCAAAAATCTTTGATACGCTATAGGATCCCTTTTAAAGGAACAGCCTCCTTCCCAGTGCCATATCTTTGATTCTATGCGTGGAACCAAAATACCCTTGTATAAGGGTGTAGGTGGGATATTGAAGTCAGCCATTCTTCACCATCACCCTGATGCGTATGCTGCTGCCAATCCCAACATGTACTACAAGACATCTACACACACACTTGGGATTTGTTTAAAGCTTGGCTCTAGTAATTCTGTAGATCAGAGTTCTTTGATCTCAGCCCCGCAAAGCATTTCTTGTCGTGGAGCCATCGTGGGCAGATGTGTAGCAACGCGCCTTGCTTCTACCCATAAGATGCCAGCATGAGCCCAGCCATCCACTCATGGTACATCTGAACACCTCCACCAGCTTCCAGCCAATAATCTCATGCCCTCCCATTGATCGTCGATTTGCTCGAGCGGGCCCAGTAACGTCTCCATTGGAGACTTTGTTGTTACTGTGTCTGGCATATGGAATACTCTCGGTAGCTTGCCGGGCTCTCCGAGAGGGGCGGAGGAATCGAACTCGGGTCGGCCATGTTGGCCGCGTGTAAGGCGAACGCCCTACCCGCTGTGCTATCGCTCCACCCAATAATCTCATATGGATACAAAAACCTGCTCTCAAGCACGTTCAAAATGATAATTCTAACACAAGAATATTTGCAGCTCCCTACTCTCTTATCCAACAAAGATGGCCAAAAAAAATGGAATGGGAGGTTTGTATTTTAACTTTCTACAATCCCTCTTGAGTTGGACTTGGAGGGTAGGGCTCTTTAGTCAGGAGCTATGGAAAAGGTCTGTGTACAAGGTGGTAGAAAAGTTTTCTGTAACAGGCCAGGAATATGGCTCGGTGGCAGAACCTGTGCCTTCCTTACCTGTGAGGACCTGGGTTCAATCCCTGGTATGGCAAAATAAATTAAAAAAATATATATACACATACACATATATTTATACATACACATATAATTTACCACCAATAACACACGATTTGACAAACATTTATTAAATGCCTACTGTGTGCTCAGCACTGCACTAGGCACTACGGGGCGTAGAGACACGACCCTTATTCTTCCTGCCCTCAAGGAGCTTACAATTTAATCTTGGAAATAAATACAAACGTGGAACTACAATGCTGAGTGCAAGAAAATAACTGCAAAGCAATGTAGTAGTAAGAGATTCGGGACACAGTACAACTCAAAGAAGTGCTGGGGCGGCCTTCTGGGTTCCCTCAGGCGGGGGGGGGGGGGGGGGCGGAGGCGGGTGGAGTATGGCCAGGCCTGGGGCTGCAGAGTGGTCTGAGGAAAGACAAAGGCACCGAGTGGGGGGGGGGGCGGCTTGGTGTTGCACGCCAAGGAGACCAATGGCACCTTAGGAAGGTCATCTTGAAAGTATCAGGATGGGGATCCAGAGGGGTGAGACCAGGAAGGAAGGACGGCAACCTGAGCCCCGGGGCTGGGATCTGCACAGCAGGTTTCCAGAGAAATGGCCGGAAGCGTAAGATCCAGCTCCCATCAGATGAGCAGCTTGGAACAATTTTGTAAGGATGTGACAAGGGGAGGGTGGAAAGACCATTCCAAACTGGGATAAGAACGCAATGAGTCTGCACAGAGATAGGTAAACAACAAAACGTAAGAACAGGGCTGGGAGTTCTGAGGGCTGTTTCCAGCTAGAGTTGTTATAGATGCCTGTAAGTTGAAAGATGACCAGAGGGTGGAAAAAAGAAGTATCAAGTTTCTAAACATGATAAAATATGTATATATGCAAGAGTATAAGGGGAAAAGGTGATTAAAATGAGGATATGAGGATCATCAGAGGGAAAAGAAGGGACCAATACAGAAAAGCTAGAAATAAGGCAAAAAGCATCTTATAAGTCAAAAGAGAGGATTCCTGAGATGTGGGGGAAATACGAGTCTGAAGGAAACAGACAGGAAGGTCAAGAACTATGGTAAGGTCCTGATATTTATGATTGGAGAGCATTTCACTGGAACGCCAAAGACAGAAGCCAGTATTTTTGGGAGGAACTAGGGTTAATCAGTAGAGGGCTTGTTTGCAAGCCCAGACACCTGGGGAGAACAGCACCACAGCTGGAAGTGGGCGGGAGAGGGAGCTTCACATTTCATGCTCCAGAGGAACCAGCTCAATGTTGTCATTCTAACTGGCCAGCTGCCTAGCCTGCTCTATGGATATTTTATTCCTCTTCATGATTCTAATCTTCTTGGGGCAGTTTATTTTATTTTTTGCTTTTTGGGTCACACCCGGCGGTGGACTCCTGGCTCTGCACTCAGGAGTTACTCTTGGCGGTGGTCAGGGGACCATATAGGATGCTGGGAATCGAACCCGGGTCAACCGCGTGCAAGGCAAACGCCCTACCCGCTGTGCTATCTCTCCAGCCCCTCTTGGGGCATTTTAGAGAAAGGCAACTGAATCTGTCATTATCTTTCCAGTTCCTCTCTTGGATGTGTTTTACATGCATGACTGAGTTCTTTTGCGCTACAAAGCATCAATATAAAAACTGGCAACATGGAAAGTTGATATAACTATAAACCAAATGCCACTTGCAATCAAATGCAACTACAAACCAAAATGGCATTTGCAATCAAATTTCCGGTAATTATAATGGATTTACAGTATCTTGCACAGTCCCTTTCTCTTTTCAAACAGCTGGCCAGGACTGTATGCTTGTTGGAGGGTGGCAGAGAGGTTAGTATGGGCTGGAGAAGCAGAGTGGAGGCTGCATCACTTTCACTGTGTTACTCCTGCGAAGTCATTCAGTTCCCTCAGCCTGCTTCCCTCTGAAGATCTATCACAAGCATGAGAAATGCTTAAGGGTTTGGTACACAGTGATTGCCCAGCAGATGTCAATGACTATATTTTAGAACCACAGAACTAAGAGTAAAGCAAGAACTGCTCCCTCTGGGAGTTAACGAATACATTCCAGCACTGCCAATAGGGCTGCGTGGTGAAACCTTTGAACCTCCCATGCCCCTGTACACTGCACAGAAACAGCTACAGAAGAACCACTGGAACCCATCAGCTCCAAATCCAAGAGGCTGAAAGGTGGGAGAACACCCTGAACGTTTCACTTCAGAGTGAGAACAGCCAAACAGGCCCTGTTGGGCTGGAGAGGACAGTGGGCAGGGGGCTTGCCTTACACACACATCGCTGGCCTGGGTTTGATCCCCGGCATCCTATATAGTCCCCTGGGGTCCCCAAGGAAAGAGCCCTGAGTTCAGAGCCAGGAATAAGTTCTAAGCACTGGCAGGTCTGTGCCCCCTACCCCCAAATGAAAAAAAAAACACAACAGAACCTGCAGGATGAAGGAGAGTAGTGCAAATGTCGCAATTAGGAGTTCAAACAAGGTCCTAAGGCTCATCAATAATATTCTAAAGGCTAAGCAAACTGTTGCCCAAGAATGGACATCAATTGCCCCCCAAAATCAACTGTTTTTTTCTTTTTTCCTGTTCTACAGTTATGTGACTTGGCTGCTTGCAAAGGAGTGTTGCACCAGGCATGAGTTTGTTCAGCTCAATCTTTTCTCACTTTCGTCCTAAAGTAACTGATTGTGTATTTATTTGTTTTTGGACCACAACTGGCGCTGCTCAGGGCTTAATCCAGGTTCTGCACTCAGGGATCACTCCTGGCTGTGCTCAGGGGACCATATGGGGTGCTGGGGATCAAACTTGGGTTGGTCGCATATAAAGCAAACATTCCTCTGTCTGTAGTATTGCTCTGGTCCCCATACTGGTCATATATTCTTCTTATTCCTGTGCAATTTTAGTAATTCTGAGATTAAAATATTCTGGTTACGAAGCTGTGAGCTGGCAGACGTGGAATTATTTAAGTGTGCTGCCCACATTGGTACAGAAACGCGGGTAATATCCGGACACGGCGGTGCTGGCCTCGGACAGGATCAGCATGTGAACACACTGGAAGAAATGACCAAAGCAGGGAGCAAGGATCCAGAGACAACCAGATTTGTTTCTAGTTCAAGGGAATTAAAATGAGAATCTATACACCTGGGGGAGGGGCACACAAAGAGAATAAGGAAAAAAAAAAGGAACACTGGAAAAGATTGGAAAAATTAAGCAAGGAAACCAGGATGACGATGACAGGTGGGCATGAATGGCTCAAAGAGGAGCGATAATCTTGACGTCAGCGATTAGGATTACAGAGAGAGGACACTGACATACCCAACAAAGGGGTAGAGAAGGGATATTCAAAGGAGGGAGGCAAATTATGATCCAGAAGGTAAAAGTAAGTAAAGGCCCTCCCGTTGATCATCGATTTGCTCGAGTGGGCCCAGTAACGTCTCCATTGGAGACTTTGTTGTTACTGTGTCTGGCATATCGAATACTCTCGGTAGCTTGCCGGGCTCTCCGAGAGGGGCGGAGGAATCGAACTCGGGTCGGCCATGTTGGCTGCGTGCAAGGCAGACGCCCTACCCGCTGTGCTATCGCTCCAGCCCCAGGCAAATCGATCCAGAAGGTAGGCCCCTAAAATGCTGGAAACTGCTCAATGGGCTGAGCCCACGCCTGGCATATGAGGGGTTCAGGTTCGATCCCAGGCAATCCATGGCCCCAGAGCCAGGTGCAGTCCTGAGCACCGAGAGGTGTCAGACCCCTCAAAGTACTTGAGGGTTACTTTAAAAACATCAATCATAGAATCATCTCAGTGTGCGCCTCTGGGGACAGTCACAGTGTGAAGGCGTGCAACTGCTCTTGGAGTTCCTATAAAAATATACATTACATTCCTATGCCAGAATCAACTTCGCTTTTGAAAAGCCGATTTTGAAAAGAAGCAAATAGTTACACAGATCTAGGGTTGATAAATGGGCAGCCAAATCGTCAGACTGAGACGTGAGCCACCATGGTTTTCTTCTCTGCTGAATGATCGGATGCTTCGGAGAACAGCTGTGGTGTCTGCGGCAGTGACAGCAACGGCAGCATTCCTGGAGCACTGGCACGAGCTAGAAACGCCCAACCGCAAAACACAGCCCGCGGTTAGATAGGTAAACTGTGGTGGGTTACTGCAAGCCAGGCTCATCAGATGTGTCCTGGTACTTTGTAAGTCTCAAATATGAAATACGGGACCTGTGAGGCTGAGCTGAATCTTGGGTCTTAGCTGGATTACAAATGTAGTGGAGCAGAATTCGAAGGATGAGGAGGTGGAAGGTGAAGGACTGAGCAGATCATGACCGCGGGTACTACAGCTACCTGAGTGACTGGCAAGAAATGGATGGAGAACGCAAGTGAAGTGCTTAAGTCATCGATGGAGATGAGCAGACTGACAGACCGTTTAGACGGAGAGGAGGTTGAGGCTCAGGCCCAGAAACGGCAGGGCGTGGCGGTTCTTCGGAAGCATTCTAATGTCTCTAAGCACCCTGTATCCAATTCTTCACGTGTGATGCCTGACCCAGTGGAGACATCTACTATGCCAGTGTCCAGCTGGCTGGTGGAAAGGAGAGCCAGGAGGCACTGAAAGGCCTAAGCGTGTGACGGAGTGGCCAGGCCGAGTCTGTACTCTTTCTCTGCATCATTCCCACAGTCACCGTGAATACAGCCACTTTCTCTGCTGACGCAGCTTCTGGGAGGCTTCATAAGGAGGCTCAATGGCTCAGTGGGGTCAATGAAAGAGGTAAGTGGAGAAAAACGCAGGAGTGCTGTTGAAGATATAGCAGGATCAGGGATTGCCACAGACTCTAGTATTCAAGGGCAATGCACATTTCAGCGTCAACACCTTGTGTGTGAAAACTCCCTAGAACTAGGATCCCAGGAAGCTAAATCCAAGTATCTCACACAGAGTCTGCTCCAAACTCTACGGCAACTTCTAAGACAGGATCAGGAGCACATGCCCCGCCACGGAGGTAAACGGGAGATAACTCACAGGAGAGGGGGAGAAACAGGGAGAGAAGCCCCTCTCAGGTCTGCAGCGAGACTCACCGCGAATATGAACCCAAGTGCCCTGAGTCCCAGAGAGCAACGTGGTCTAAGGCTTTTTTAAACAGCAACAGGAGCGCTGCTCCCTCTACTCCACCTCACGAGACTCTTGGTAAGCACCTGCCTCAGGGCACCGGGCCTGAACTACCACCCACCTAGTCTAACTTTGCCCAGCTAGTCTAACTTGGCCTCTGAGGCTGACCATGACACTAGACAAGGTTGGAATGGCGATGATCTTTCTGCATTTTCACTTCACCGAAAAAGCCTTCTCACCGGCCTGCGCCGGGTGTTGAATAACGCCCAAGGACGGCCGAAGCTTCCCCCCTACACGACTATGGGTGCGGATTTCTCTCCACTATGGATTCTCTGATGTCGAATGAGACTGGACCTCTGAATAAAGGCTTTGCCACACTCTTTGCACTGATAGGGCTTCTCCCCCGTGTGAATCCTCAGGTGCTGAATGAGGCCGGTGTTGCCATTGAACGCTTTCCCACACTCTTTACATTTGTAAGGTCTTTCTCCCGTGTGGATTCGCTGATGCTCAATGAGGCCCGACTTCTGACTGAAGGCCCTCCCACACTCCGTGCATTTGTAAGGCTTCTCCCCGGTGTGGCTTCTCTGGTGGCCAATGAGGTGTGAGCTCCGCCTGAAGGTTTTCCCACACTCCTCGCACTCATAGGGCTTCTCCCCTGTGTGGATTCTCTGGTGGCCAATGAGGTGCGAGCTATGACTGAAGGCCTTCCCACACTCGCTACATTCATAGGGCCGCTCCCCACTGTGGATCCGCTGGTGCAGGATGAGGCCTGCGCTCTGGCTGAAGGCCTTCCCACACTGACTGCACTGGTACGGCTTCTCCCCGGTATGGATTCTCTGGTGCAGGATCAGGCCCGTGTTCTGGCTGAAGGCCTTCCCGCACTCCTTGCAGTGGTAACGCTTGACTTTGTTGTGAATATCCTGATGGGACAGCAGGGCCGACCTGTAACTGAAGGCTTTCCCGCACACACTGCACTGGTAGGGTTTCTCCCCAGTGTGGATTCTCCAGTGGCGGACAAGGCCTGAGCTCTGGGCAAAGGTTTTCCCACATTCGTCACATTTATGCCGTCTCTCCTGGGTGGGGTTTCCCCGCTGCCTCTCTGCTTTGCCCCGAAGGCCCGGGGCTTCTCCGTGCTCAAGACCCCCGACAAGATCCCCATTGCAGTTGGCAGCTGTCCCTCCAGGTGGCTGGATTCCGGTAGCTGTTGCCTGTTTCGACGTCATCTCCCTGTTCTCATTCCTGGTCTCACCACCTGAAATGAAAATGCAACAAGTAAAATAAATGGCAGCTCACTATCACTTCCTATTCTCAAGGTAAATGATCGAAGTAAAGGGAGGAGCACAACAGCCTCCACGAGGAAACCTGAAGCCTTTATGGGAACCGAGAGCAGGAGGAACATGGGAAGAATTCAAGTTCCAACTGGCCAGTTGATGACTGCCCTTATAGTAATACTGAATATAAGCACTATGCACTATCCTCCTGTTGTTCACTGATTTGCTCGAGCGGGCCCAGTAACGTCTCCATTGTGAGACTTGTTGTTACTGTGTTTGGCATACCGAATATGTCATGGGTAGCTTGCCAGGCTTTGCCGTGCGGGTGAGATGCTCTCGGTAGCTTGCTGGACTCTCCGAGAGGGGCGGAGGAATCGAACTCGGGTTGGTCAGGTCAGCCATGTCAGCCGCGTGCAAGGCAAACGCCCTACCACTGTGCTATCACTCCAGCCCGGAATAGATCTATAATCCCAAATATGAATAGATTAAACAAGATAGTCTGATGGGACTATAGTAGTTGCGTGGCCAGTCAGAGGTTGGGAAGGCCTCAGCCTTTCTGGCCCTATGTGCGTGACTACCTTTCAAGAAGTCCACTCAGCACAGATATGGTTGCCAGAGTCCCATCCCGCACATCTGTATTCCAGGTAGGAAAGAGAGATGAGAAAGTAGAGAGCATCTGAGCTGAGTCAGGCTCTTCCAGGAGCAATGCCAAAAGACATGCCCATCAGGTTTTATATTTCTCATTTTGGGCAGCTGTAAGATGTGATCAGCGTCTTAAGCATCTTAATATAAGTCTCCTTGTATTTATGAGGCCACAGTCAGTAGTGCTCACGGGGCCCAGGGCCACACTCCCAGCAACGCTCAGCCAGGCACTGCAGCATGATGATGTGGTTCTCTGGAGTCACCTGGGCCACAATAGTGGGATGGGGACAGCTCGGGGGACACTGTGGTGGCGGGACTCAGCCTCTTACACACGTTCTAGCAGGAGCTGTCTCCTTAGCCCGAGGGTTCATTCTAGAGCTTACGAAGTGTCAACACTGTATTTCTCCATGGGATACTGTGTTCATCCCATTTTGTAGTTCTTGGAATCAACTAGCAGTGCTCAGGGGTTACTCCCAGCTCTAAGTTTGAAGGACTATGTGGTGCTGGAAACTGAACCTGGGCCTCCAAAGCATGTGTCCTGCTTCTTCAGTTACTTCTCCAGTCCTTGGTACTAGTGTTTTACTATTATTTTAAATATTTTACATTGTTTTTATTTTTGGTTCTGGGGACACACTCGGTGATGCTTAGGCACTACTCCTGTCTCTGCACTCTGGAATCACTCTTGGTGGGCTCAGAGGACCATATGGGATACCAGGGATTGAACCTGGGTTGGTCATGTGCAAGGCAAATGCCTTACCTGCCGTACTATTTCTTTGGCCCAATTTTTAAAAATATTATCATTAAAAAAATTGTTTTTATTTTTTGGGCCAGCCAGACTTGGCTTTGCTCAGGGCTTACTACTGGGTCTTCCTCAGGGATCACCACTGGCAGGCTTGGGGGACCATCAGGGGTTCTGCCAATTGAATCTGGGTTGGCCCAATGCAAAGCAAGCAGTTAGCAGTTTAACCACTGGACTATTGCTCTGGTCCCTGGGTGCATGTGTTTAAAGTAGATGATGTTTTCCCGAGGGTTCACAGCTACCATACACATAAAAAAACAAATTAGAAAACCAGATCTGCACTTACCCAGGGAGAACATGTTTCTGTGATTCTCTGGTCTGCTGTCTCTGGTCAGAGACTTCTGTGGCGGATCAAGAAGCCATTCCTCTCGAATCAGGGACACAGCCATGTCTTCAATCTTCTCTAGAGTCTGGAAACAAGCAAGCAAACAAGCAAGACCCCATCTGGGGACCGGGTCTGTTCCACAGTGCTAACCCAGACTGTCAGCAAGGTTCACCAGTGTTGTTTTCAAAAGGGACCAAAAGTATTGGACCAAAAGGGAAAGCATTCCAGGGATCGGAGCAATAGTACAGCAGGGAAGGCACTTGAGGTGCACATGGCCAACAGGGGTTCAATCCCAGGCATCCCAGATGGCCCCCCGAGCCTCACCCGGAGTGATCCCTGAGTGCAGAGCCAGGAGTCAGTCCTAAGTACAGCTGCACGTGGCCCAAGAACAAAAAGAGTGGGGACATATTTTGTAAATGAAGCTGAATAGGTGGGAAGGGGAAAATACACCAGACTTTTAGTGGGAGAAAAATCTTTCTATACAGAAGAACGCGAGGCAAGTTCCCTAGTGACTACTGTCACTACTAGCCCATACCTGGGGCAAATGCCACCAGCACTGCCAAGCAGAGCTTAGGGAAGTCATGAGATTGCAACTCACTTGGAATCCTGCTGTAAGAAGTGTAGCTGTCACCTCCTGGTCTCCGGGAGTCCTTTTCTGGGGAGAGGTAGAACTCTGAGAAGCAGGAATGGCTGAGGAAGGAGAAAGGAGCTAGTGGATGGAACCAGCCCTGTCCCACGGTTCTCAGAGCCAGCACTGGCCCATTCTAAAGCTGTTGGCTCAAGCTTTTCAAATAAACAGGCCAGGTTTATTTGAAAATTCAAATCCTAAAGTCGACACGGTCACTTTCTTTTTTATATTTTTACATTTTTGTCTAATGAGCAAATTAAAGCTGACACTTTGGAAAAATTAGAGAAACTCTGACAAAACTATGACTTTGGGTTCTTTTTTATAAAAATCTGCTACAATGAAAACAAGTTATTATCCTCTTACTTTCCATGTCACCTGAAAAAATTATTTTCCAGAATATTTTTCTTCATTTATATTTTACTTTGGGCTGGAGCAATAGCACAGTGGGTAGGGTGTTTGCCTTGCATGTGGTCAACCCGGGTTCGATTCCTCCATTCCTCTCAGAGAGTCCGGCAAGCTACCGAGAGTATCCCTCCCGCATGGCAGGGCCTGGCAAGCTCCCCATGGCGTTTACTATATGCCAGAAACAGTAACAACAAGTCTCACAATGGAGACATTACTGGTGCCTACTCGAGCAAATTGATGAACAACGGGAGGACAGTGCTACAGTGCTACTGCATTAAGTTTAGCTATTTTTTTTTATTAGTGAAACACCATGAGGTACAGTTGTAGACTTACAGATTTTTGTGCTTGGGTTTCAGTTATACAATGATTAAATACCCATCCCTCTACCAGTGCCCATTTCCCACCACCACGGATCCCAATATCCCTCCCACCCCTCTTCCCCCCCCATCCCACCCTGCCTCTGGGGCAGGGCATTCCTTTTGTTCTCTCTCTCTTATTGGGTGTTGTGGTTTGCAAAAGAGGCATTGAGTGGCAACCGTGTTTGGTGTATAGTCTACTTTCAGCATGCTTCTCCCATCCTGGGAGGATCCTCCCAACACCCTTTATTTGGTGCTCCCTTCTCTATCTGAGCTCCCTTTTCCAAGCCATGGAGCAAACCTCCAAGCCATGGAGCAAACCTCCTGGTACTAATCTTGGCCACACTTGGGTGTTAGTCTCCTATTTTGTTACTTCATATTCCCCAGATGAATGCAATCTTTCCCTCTCTTTCTGACTCATTTCGCTTATCATGATACTTTCCAGGTAGTACCACTCGTATGTAAATTTCATGACTTCATCTTTTCTAACATGGTTTAGCTAACTTTTAATAAACCTTTTTTTTGGTCTAGTTTTATGAAAAAAAAAACTCAACTGGTTCAATTTAGAAAATTTGCACATAACATGCTGACACCTTAGGCTGAGTGCATAATTATGGTTGCCCAAAAAATACCCACACTTGGATATCCTGCTCAGTGTGGAGTTACACTTCAAAAACATAAAATTCAGGAGCTGGAAAGATAGCTGTATGGGCCAGTGCTTACATTTTTGCATGCAGGAGGCCCAGGTTCAGCCTGACATGGAATGGTCAGGTATCAAGCTGGGTGTAGCCAAGCACCACCAGATGTGGTCCAAAAAATCCACCACCACCACCACCACCACCACCACCACCACCACCACCACCAATGTACTGGTTTGCTAACAGAAGCGGCTTTACAATGGCCTCACTACTGCCAAACGTTCCATACATCCTGGTGTAGGAGTTCTTTAAGCCCCTAGCTCTGGGCGAGCTGGCCGTGACTGTAATATTCCTTCGCATCCTCCATCTACCCAAGAGTGGACTGCCCAGACCAGCAGGGTCCATGTGACTGCACTTGAGGGCTTCAGAGCTTTGGTCAATAATTACAGTCATGTGCTCACAACAATGTTTTGGTCAACAAGGGCAAATTTCACATATGACAGTGAGCCCGCTATGTGCAAGAAAGACTATGCTATTGGGTTTGTGTAAGCATCTTTTATAGAGCATGCATAAGACAAAAATACCCTGATGACTCATTTCTCAGTGAGCATTCCTATCACCGAGGAATTAAAAAAGACAATATCACTGAAAACATTTGTCTCTCTATTTTTGGGGGGAGGCCACACTGGGCAGTGCTCAGGGATCACTTCAGGCGGGCTCAGGGGACCTTACGGGATGGCAGAGATTGCACCTGGGTTAGTCACAGACAAGGAAACTTCCCTATTTGCTTCTAGCTCTGGTCCACATTTCTGTTTCTTTAGAAGAATTCATTTCTAGAGAACAAGCTACTGTCAACCTTGTAAGTGAAAAAACATGAAATGTGAGGCAAGTAGGAGGTAAAATGGGACTATCTTATAATACAGGCAAGCAAGTAAATTCTAAAAAAAGAAAAAGAAAAACGTCAAAAATTCATAGGAGTCAAGACAGTAACAATATAATAATTTTTCAATCTCCAGTAATAAAAAGGTAAATGGAGAGAAGGGAACACTTGCTATAGTAACTAATGTAGAAAAGATGATCAAAAAATATCATCACTGTAGTTAGCCAAATGATGGTCAAAGCAGTGTTGGGGTATATGGTGCCTGAGGAGTTTGCTTTGCATGTGGCTGGCCCAGGTTTTTCCCCTAACACATACTATGGTTCCCCAAGAGTGCCAGGAGTGATCCCTGAGTTGGGAGCCAGGAGGAAGTCCTGAGCATGGCTGGGTGTGGCCCAAAGGGGATACTGGGGAATGAATCCAGGTTGGCTGTGTGCAAGCCACATGCCTTACCCACTGTATTTTCTCCCCAGCCTCTCAAATTCCTGTTCTCTAGAAGATTTCAAAACCTCTCTGGATGTTCAAAGCCTACCGTCTTTCTTTTTCTCTCTCCCTCCCCACCCCTCAATTCCCTCTACCCTCTCTCCCCACCAATAAAATCTGACTCCTCACCTCTCCCTTGAGGCCCTCGGAGCATGGGAGATTCCTGCTGCGTCATGGCAGGCTGGTGCTGTGGCCCGTGAGGCTCTGGGCCCCCCTCCCACAGCATCCTGTGTCTGTGTGCCAGAGCTGGGACCTAGGAACAATGGGACAGTCGCAGGACCAGGAACACTCTGGGAAATAAAATGTACCCCATCAGAACGTATCTACAGGGACCCAGGCTTGGCAGGAAGAGAATCCCACTGACTTCCGAGGGGTGATTAGAACCTCAGGCGTGCTCTTCGGCACTCTGGAGAAAGGGCACTTTGCTGTCACTTCTCTACGGGAAAGGATTTCTCCTGACGCGGGCCTTGAGGCAAAAACCACCCATATCCTGTACTCTCAAGCGGGGGAAGAATGAGTTAAAGCCTTGACAAAGATGGAGTGAATAGTTCAGGGGTTAAAGGCACTCGCTTTGCATGCAGCTGACCTTGATTCACTGCCCAGCACTGCAGATGATCCACGGAGCACTGCCAGGAGTAAGCCGGGAGCATTGCCAGATGTGGTGACAACCCCACCCCGACTCTTCCCGGTGACAGAAAGAAACAGAGAGGCTGCGTTCTGGTCACAAATCTTACTCATGTAGGAGTGCTGTGGAAGTCATTTCAGTTCCCCATGCCTAACTTCCCATTTACTACCTCTGCGAGGTTACGGCCCATTAAAAGGCCCCCCAGTAACACTGGTGAGAATGAAACACCACTGACTGACCTGAAATGAAAGGACTTTATTCAAGGCATGGTTCCTTATATATTTCACTTAATAGTCATGGTTGCAGGAACCTATTAATGATGTTAAATAAGAATTTACGAAAGCTTATTTTTCCACAAATCTATAAGCAGATCTCTACACATAAAACCGTTTCTGTGCTACAATTAGTTCTACCTTCATGCTACAGGAACTGGTGCTCAGGAGTTCTGTTCCCTCCAAAGTGCCCAACGTCCCTCCCCGCATTTCCGGCCCTCTGCGCAACTCCGCTACTCACGGGCCGTCCTAGGACATCGATCTGCCGCTCCAAGTCTTCCAGCAGAGTCACCACCTCTTCTGCATTCTCCAGCTGGTGTTCAGTCACCAGTGACTGCAGCTCCCCGGGCAGGATGGTGAGGAACTGCTCCAGCACCAGCAGCTCCAGGATCTGCTCCTTGGTGTTCAAGTCTGGCCTCAGCCACTGGTGGCAAAGTGCCCGGAGCTGGATCAGCGCCTCCCGGGGCCCTGGTGTCTCCTGATAGCCCAGCTTCCTGAAGCGCAAGCGGAAGTGCTCTTGGCCAGGAGGGTTATTTTCATGCGGACCAGATTCCTGGTCCCATCCAGGATCTTCCTCTACTTTGACAATTACAAGGTCCTCTTCAGGGGCATGGCCTGGTGGGGAAGGGACCGAGGACTTTCTTGATTCTGAAGCCATTGAGCGCCAGGAAAGCTAAGGATGCCTGTTTCTACCACCTTCTTGAGAACCCTGGGGGAGGGGGAGGGGGAATGACAAAGGTTCCAATAATTGATTAAGACATTGCAATATGCTCCTTAGCACAGCGTGGCATTCACGGCTCTCATTGAAGCGCTAGTCTCCTTCCAGAAATTACTCCTTTCTGCCTTAGCCTTCTGTTATGTCAAACCAACTGGGAACAATCCCTTCCTATTTTTTCTGCCAGGGGATGTGAAATACGGTTAAACTATCTCAGGAAACCATGGAGACTGGGTGTCACTGAAATTCTGTGCTGAATCTCGGCTGCTCTCACCGCTGCTCATACAACTCACTCCTTACAGAGTTTGCTACCCAGCTGTTGAGTGGGCTTCTCCTTATCAACCTGTCCCTCCCTCTCAATAGGTAGGGCTCGAGTCCACATAATCTCGCTCAAGGTACTGTTAAGAACTATTCCAATACTGCCTCTTCTCCCTCTGACACTTATCATCCTGCCTCTGATTCAGATTCCTGTCTCAAGGATAACTTCAACACTGGATCTTATTTCAAGATCTAGAACTTTCTTTGAAGCACTTGCCCCTTATCCCAGGAAACATAGCTGCCCTGTCAGTACCTGTAACCCCAGAGTCTACAGCCTTGATGTTTATGCTTACGAATTTCCTTAAAGTATAGTGACAAATTCCTAAACAATAGGCCACCTTCCGTCTTATCATCAATCCTCATGAATCCTAACTACAAAGTATTTCAATGTTATGTGTTCACCATCCAAGAACTTTATATTGAAGCCTCAACAGTGAAATTGATGAAAGTCATCTAATTATCAGATGGACATATTTAAATCAAATCAGTCAAGTAGTTCCAGTTGCCCATCTCGATGACCTCCACTGGCTATTTTTCCATTTTAATAACTCCCTCTTCCAATGTCCATTTTTCTCAATAATGACCTGTAACTAACCAACCATAAAAACATACCACAAAATCTGTTAACTATGTTCCTTTCTTTCAAACAATTTTGCACACGCAGATATGTATTATGTATACAGACTGTTGTTCACATTCTTGGTTTTAGGGGGTGGGGTGATCTTGGAGCACTCAGGCTGGTGCTCCCACACACTCCTGCCCCCTGAACCATCGCCCAGGCCTTCTTACATCCTGGCTTTTAAGAATTTCCCCTCTGAGTCAGAGCAATGCACCAGCCTGAATGCTCCACGATCACCCCACCCCCCCAAAGTCAAGAATGTGATTTTGAATACGATTTGAATGCGAAATTTGAATGCGAAATTTGAATGCGATAATCAAGAATGTGATTTTGAATGCAAGTAGGGTGACTGTTTGGCTTGCACAAGGCCAGCACAGGGTTCAGTCCCTGGTACCCCATTTGGTCCCCTGAGCACTGCCAGTAGTGCTTTCTGCGGGGTAAGCCCTGAGTGTGTGGGCCGAAAACAAAACAAAACAAAAAATTAAAAAAAGGACAGGGCATGCGAGAGAACAGTTTATTGATACAGGAAGTTATTCCATCCTAAAGCTGATTGCTATCTCATAAATCCTGTAAAGACACAATTCGGCCGAAGTGGTTAAACACAAAACAAAACAAAACAAAACAAAACAGTTTCTGTCGGTCCAGTTATCCTGGGAACCGCTTGCATTCTCTCAATACGTTGCAAAAATCATCCTAAACTGCAAAACTAAGTTTCCGTGATCAACTGGGGGCTGGCTAATCACGGGACGCGCAGATACACCTTTTAACAAACTGCCTGCACCGTGACGGAAAATGCACAATCGCTCAATTCGAACAAAACCAAAATAACGCCTGCGGCCAGGGCCGGCCAAGAGGCGAGGCTGCGGGGCACGTCTCGAACCCAAGCCGGGGGAGAGGGACGCCCTGACCTCCCCCCTGGAAGGTCCCCTCGCCAGAAAGTCTGGGGACGCGGGGGGGTCTCGGGGCGCCCCCTGGGCCGCAGCAGCCCCCCCGCCCCCCGACCGGCCCTCGCCGCGGGCCGCTCTGGCCGCAAAGCGCGTCCCGTCCCCGCACCTGGCGCGCGAAGCTGACTCACCGCGAGTGTCCACAGCGGGGCCGGGCGGCTGCGATGCGCGGCCAGGTCCGGGCAGGGGCAGGGGCAGGGACAACGGGCCGCGGCGGGAACGGGCCGAGCCCCGCCAGCCCCAACTTCCAAGCCCGCCGAGGCACCACACGGGCCCAGGCGCATCTTGCCCCGAAGGCACTTCCGGGAGCTCTCTAGGAATCCTGGAGGTCTGAGCGCTCTATGGTCGGTGCTTGGAGGGGCCCGAGCACCGCGGGATCCCCCGACGCGGGTCTCCCCGAGGGTGGCGGCTCCGAGCTGGCGGCCACCACCGCCGCCGCAAGCTGCTGGGAGAGGATGACGGTTTCCCCCGCCGGTGCCAGCCGGAGGAGGAGCTGGGAAAGCGGTGGAAGTGGCACGCCTTTGGAGGATCCTCGACGTGGGAATTCACTGCGCTCGGTCTGCCCAGGGCAGGCCGGTTGCCCACAGCCACGGCCGGATTCTGCAGGAATTCCTTTTTTTTTTTTTTTTTTTTTTTTGCTTTTTTTGGGTCACACCTGGCAATGCACAGGGGTTACTCCTGGCTCAGCACTCAGGAATCACCCCTGGCGGTGCTCAGGGGATCATATGGGATGCTGGGAATCGACCCCGGGTTGGTCTGGTTGGTCGCGTGCAAGGCAAACGCCCTACCCGCTGTGCAATTGCTCCAGCCCCCAGGAATTCCTCTTAACTCGACTTCCGTTTTCTAAAATAACTTTTTGAGTGTTACTTCATAGAGCACACTCAAGTGTCTATCCAAGACTGAGTACTTTTCATGTCCTTAAAAAAAAAATATTGGGGGCAGATAAACAGTAGAGCAGGTAAGGCACTTGTCTTTCATTCAGCTGACCTGGATTCAGTGCAAGGCACCTCAAAGTCCCCTGAGTACCTGATGTGGCCCCCAAACCATGCAAACAATTGAAAAGATTTGGTTCGGCCAGGAATAAGCAGTGAGCACAACTGGTGTCCCTGCACCCTAAAAGGTTCAGAGCCATAAAGATAAAAGAGTGGTTAAGGCACTTGTCTTGCATGCAATTGTGGCTGCAACAGTGGTTTGAATTCTGACACCTCAATTTGTTCCCCAGCACTGTCAGGTGTGGCCCTTCCATCCCCCCCTCAAAATACTTGGTTCAGTGGCCAGAATATCAAAGCACCAAGTGGATGCTTTTCATGCAAGAGGCCTAGGTTTGATTACTGGCACTATTTGGTTCCCCAAGCACTGTTAGATATGTCTCTCCCAAAACAACGAAACAAAAACACTTTGCTCAGATGTTGAAATATTGTGCAGATGAGTCATAAAGAACAAGTATGAGGGGCCAGAGAAATAGTACAGTGGGTAAGTTGCTTGCCTTGTATGCGGATGACCCAGGTTTGATCCCCAGCACCTCATATGGTCCCCTGAGCATCACCGGGAATGATTTCTGAGTGCAGAGCCAGGAGTAAGCCCTGAGCACTACCAGAAGGGCCCAAAAAACAGAAAAGAAAAAAAAAAAGAATAAGTATGGGTATGAAACCTGAGGTTTTAATTTTTTTTTTGTACCATATCCAGTATGCTCCGTGCAGGTTCCACCGAGATTTGAACTCGGATTGCTGGATTCAGAGTCCAGAGTGCTAACCATTACACCATGGAACCGCCATAGCACAGCGGGTAGGGCGTCTGCCTTGCACGCAGCCAACATGGCCGACCCGAGTTCGATTCCTCCGCCCCTCTCGGAGAGCCCGGCAAGCTACCGAGAGTATTCGATATGCCAGACACAGTAACAACAAAGTCTCCAATGGAGACGTTACTGGGCCCGCTCGAGCAAATCGATGATCAACGGGAGGGCCTCTACCTCTACCTTATCCAGTATGCTCAAGGGGGTTATTCCTAGCTCTGCACTCGGGAATCTCTCCTGGAAGTGCTCAGGGGACCATATGGAACTTAAGGGATTGGATTTGGGTTGGCCTCCTGCAAGGCAAGTGCCTTTCCCACTGTACTATTTCTTTGGCCCAGGTTTTAATTTTTTTGTTTCAGTTAATGTAAATATTCAAAGTAAACATTTCTTGGTTGGAGAATTATGTTCAAAAGACTCTAAAGTGACATTCCACCACTGCTGATAATCTATGGCTCATCTCTGCTCAGCTTCAGAGACTCATGATTAAATTTCAAAAGAGATCAACTAGCTGCAAAACTAGTCCCTGACTGAAAACTCTGGGTAATCTGGGGAGGGTGTGGACCAAGTCCCTGCCCTGCCAAAGCCTGGGGAGCTGCACTCACACCCCAACAGCTGCCACCATGCCTACAGCTGACTGTATTGCCTCACAGCTGAGCTCTGCAAAGATGCTAAACTGCTGAAAATTTCAGGTACACCGGGTTTTTTTTTTCTTTTTTTTTTTTTTTGCTGAGAACGCCAGGCCTTCTCCAAGTGGAGGTGGGCCACTTCCCCAAGCCCATACTTCCAGAAGTCTTGGCAGCCACACCCATATTCCATCACCCCCACCAAGTAAGCTTACTTAAATACTAAGCCCAGTTAAAATATTTCTCTCCACATTTGACACCCCCAAAGTCTACAATACTAATATCCCAGTAGAAGCACACCAGATTGAATGGGATTGTAATGTAGGAGCCAACTAAGCTCAATTAACAAAAACATTAACACAGAAGGCTCAACTAGCACCAACAACTTAGTAAATCCTCAGGCAAGGGCTTGCTGTCCCCATGATGAGTTATAACAATTTCCACAAATTTTCTTTTTACCGAACTATTTTTTGATAATTCCGTTAGCAATTTAGTGGTCACTGTCACTGTCCTCCGTTGTTCATCGATTTGCTCGAGCGGGCCCAGTAACATTGTGAGATTTGTTATTGTGTTTGGCATATCGAATACATCCCGGGTAGCTTGCCAGGCTCTGCCGTGCGGGTGAGATACTCTGGGTAGCTTGCCGGGCTCTCTGAGAGGGCGGAGGAATCGAACTCGGGTTGGCCATGTTGGCTGCGTGCAAGGCAAACACCCTACCGCTGTGCTATCACTCCAGCCCAATTTAGTGGTAACAAACAATATAAAATTATTTGGGGTCTGCTAGAGGGGCAGGCTTGCAGGGTGGCTGGGAAAATGGGGATGGTGGTGGAGGAAAGGCCACAGTGGTGGTGAGGTTGGGGTGGGAATAATGAATGCCTGCAACAAACAACAACTTTGCAAACTATGGTGTTTTAAATATTTTAACTGGGCTTAGTATTTAAGTAAGCTTACATGGTGGGGGTGATGGAAAATGGGTGTGGCTGCCAAGACTTCTGGAAGTATGGGCTTGGGGAAGTGGCCCACCTCCACTTGGAGAAGGCCTGGAGTTCTCAGCCAAAAAATGAACAACTTTGCAAACTATGGTGTTTAAATAAAGTGGAATAAAAAATCCCCCAAAGACTCTGAAGTTCAGGTTAGAGGCGGGCATGAGAGTGGACCCTGAGACAAAGGCAGAGGAAGTTGGAACATTGACTGCAAGAGAGCCAATCATTAGCAGCATTGGAAATCATGATGCCGCAAAGAATATTTTTTAAAAAAAATAGCTCAGTTGACTTTTATGGTACTATGAGGAATGATTTAAATCACGTTTGTGCCCAGGGAAGATAACACAGAGCGCTGGTGAGCATGCAGCACCGGGGGCCCAGCCCAGCACCATTTGGTGTGACCCCAAAATCCAAAAGGAACAAAAACAAAACCCCGCGAAGGTAAGTTCTGTGAAGGTCAATCCTGTGATAGTTCCTCAGGCCCGCGCGACGGGTCAGTAGAACTGATTGGCCGTGTGGATTCTCTGGTGTCTAATCAGGGCCGAGCTCACTCGGAAGGGCCGCCCGCACTCATCACACTCGTAGGGCTTCTCGCCCGTGTGGATTCTCTGGTGCCGGATCAGGCCCGAGCTGACGCGGAAGGGCCGCCCACACTCGTGGCACTCGTAGGGCTTCTCCCCGGTGTGGATTCGCTGGTGCTGAACCAGCCCCGTGCGCCCGCTGAACTCTCGCCCACAGTCTTTGCATTTGTAGGGTTTCACGCCACTGTGTACCCGCTGGTGGCCGATGAGGTGGCAGCGCTGGATGAAGGACTTCCCACACTCGTGGCACTTGTAGGGCTTCTCGCCCGTGTGGGTTCTCCGGTGCTTACTGAGGTCTGAGCTGTGGCCAAAACTCTTGCCACAGTCCTCGCACGTGTAGCGTCTTTTGCCTCTCGGTGGCCACTTTCCTCTGCCGTCACTTTCTGCAGCTTCTCTGGATTCGGGGTGCGGAGGGAGGTCTTCGCTCAGCCTCCCGTTCAGCTCCCCGAGGGATTCCAAGTCTTTGGGCCTGTCTTCCTTCTGGAACGGCTCTTCATTCTTCGTCCTGGTTTTCGCACCTGTCACAAACAGCAGGTCCATGATTAGGTTCCAGAATCAAAAAGCCCATGGAGCCTGAGCGATAGTGCAGTGGGTAGGGCATTTGCCTTACACGTGGCTGACCAGGGTTCGATCCCCAGCACCCCATATGGTCCACCAAGCACCGCCAGGAATAATTCCTGAGTGCAGAGCTAGGAGTAAACCTTGAGCATCACTGGGTGTGACCCCAAAAAACAAAACCAGAATCAAAAAGTCCAGGGGAGAAAAATGCCATGTTACAAACTTATTAAAAAACAAAGTCAAATAGCACTGCACTGTCCTCCCATTGTTCATGCGAGTGGGCACCAGTAACATCTCTTTTGTGAGAGTTGTTGTTACTGTGTTTGGCATATTGAATACATCATGGGTAGCTTGCCAGGCTTTGCCATGCAGGCGTGTGATATTCTCGGTAGCTTGCTGGGCTCTCTGAGATGGGCGGAGAAATCAAACCGGGGTCGGCCCGGGCCAGCCGCATGCAAGGCAAACACCCTATCCACTGTGCTATTGCTCCAGCTCAAAGTCAAATATAGTACAGAATTTAGATATCTGCTATCATTGAAACACAGTGACATGATAGGCAAGAAATGAACAAGTCAGTCAAGGTGATACTTTATTTGCATATATTATTTGCATATATTTTATTTGCATATAAATACTTTATTTGCATATATTATTTGCAAAGAGATGAAGAAGAGAGAAAAAAGGCAAACAGGGACTACGGAGAGGACATGGAAAGTTAAGAGGGAAATTAGGGGCGAGAGATGGTGAGGGAGGTGACAGTGTGTGGCTAGGGGCCAGGAGCAGTAGGTGTAGGCCCATGTCACATGCTGCGGGCAGTCATGCTGGCCCCTGAGGTGTTGGTGCTAAAGTGGGAGCAGACTCAGGTGTGCAACTGGAAAAGATAATGGGATTTCGGACCTGAGAGCATTAGAGTGAGTAGGACTCTTGAGGAGGAAAGTATGCATGAAATAAATAAGCTGCAAGCAGAGAGAGAGCTCATAAATCAGGAAAAAGATAAGCAGGAGGGCCAGAGGGATAGGATCGCTGGTAATGCACTTGCCTTTCATGTAGCTGACATAGTTCATGACATAGTTCGATTCCCAGCACCACACAGAGTGCTCTGAGCATCACCAGGAGTGGTCCCTGAGCTCAGCACCAGAAGTAAGTCCTGAGCACAGCTGGGTGTGACCTCCCCCAAATAAATGGTAAGGTAAGGTAAAGACCCTCCCGGTGATCGTCGATTTGCTCGAGCGGGCCCAGTAACGTCTCCATTGGAGACTTTGTTGTTACTGTGTCTGGCGTATCGAATACTCTCGGTAGCTTGCCGGGCTCTCCAAGAGGGGCGGAGGAATCGAACTCGGGTCGGCCATGTTGGCTGCATGTAAGGCGAATGCCCTACCCGCTGTGCTATCACTCCAGTCCAATAAATTAATTTTTTTTTTTTTGCTTTTTGGGTCACACCCAGCGATGCACAGGGGTTACTCCTGGCTCTGTACTCAGGAGTTACTCCTGGCGGTGCTCAGGGGACCATATGGGATGCTGGGAATCGAACCGGGGTCGGCCATGTGCAAGGCAAACGCCCTACCCGCTGCGCTATCTCTCCAGCCCAAAACAATTTTTTAATTAAAAGAAAAAGAAAGATAAATAGGAAATGGTAGTGCCCAGGATTTGATCCCTGGTACCACATGATCTTCCAACACTGTTGGGAATGACTCAAGAGCACACGCTAGGAGTATCCCCAAGAACAGTTAGGCATGACCCCACTCCCCAAACAAAAAGACTAATTTCGGAGCTGGAGCAATAACACAGCGGTGGGGCATTTGCCTTCTACGTGGCTGACCTGGGTTCGATTCCCAGCATCCCATATGTTCCCCTGAGCACCGCTAGGAGTAATTCCTGAGTGTATAAGCCAGGAGTAACCCCTGTGCATTGCTGGGTGTGATCCAAAAAGCACACACACACACACACACACACACACACAAAGACTAATTTCGTGAGGTTGAAAAGATTTAATTCTAAGAATTGGCATTTTAAACAAGATACTGTTTATATGATTCAGAGACCCTACTTTGAGAATGACTTTTTTTTTATATCAAAAGAGGTAGTACAGCGGGTAAAGTGTATGTCTTGGATATACAGACCCAGGTTCATTTGTGGCACCACATATGGTTCCCCACTGAACTCCACCAGGAGTGAGCACAGAGCGGAGTAAGTTCTGGACATTATTGGGCACGGCACCCCCACACCAAAAAACAAAACAAAACAAAACAAAACTAAAACCCCAAACCCCAAAACCCAAAAAACAACAATAACAAAAAACCTAAACCCCCAAATCAGGCTGGAGTGACAGTACAGCGGATAAGGTGTTTGCCTTGCATGCAGCTGGCCAGGATTTGATCCTCAGCATCCCATATGGTCCTCTGAGCACCACCAGGAGTAATTCCTGAGTGCAGAGCCAGGAGTAACACAAAAAGAAAAAAACAAAACAAACAAACAACAACAAAAACAAATCAAAATCCAAATCAAAATAAACAAAAATATCAAACTCAGCACTTACTGTTCTTAGAATGTGTTATGCCCTCACATTTTTGGGGGCTACACTGGATTATGTTCAAGGCTCGTTCCTGGCTCTGCACTCAGGGACCACTCCTGGCAGGGTTTGGGACCATACGGAGTACCACAGATCGAACCGTGGTGCAACCCAGCAAGTGCCCTACCCACTGTACTATCTCTCTGGCCTTGCACTTAAAAAAAATTCCATTATTCTCTCAACCTGGAATGGTCACCTTTTCCAGTTCTCATCCATATGACCATCCAAAGATGAAGATTTAGGAAAAAGCATCCTCAGTGCAGCAGTCCTACTCAGACCCTTTTGCCAGCCTCCCATAGGACAGCTTTCCTTCACTGCAACTGCTCATAGCTCAAAGAGAAGAATATGTCTTGCAGGCAGCAATGTACCTGGGAGCCAGCTTTCTGCTGTCTCTGAGCTCAGGTATCACTCCTAGCAGACCGGGTTCTCTGAGCTCAGGGATCACTCCTAGCAGACCGGGTTCATATGGGCTGCTGTCGCTCCAGCCTGATGGATGTCCTTTCAAGACGAGAGCAGGAATGGCAAGGACAGAAGACAGCAAACCTACAGGCCGAGGGGAGAGGCGTCCGCAGAAATCAATACTGCCAGCACCTTCATCTCACTTTTAACCCTCCAGAAGTGTGAGAACATAAACTTCTGCTGCTTAAGCCACCCAAACTCTAGGCAGTCCTAGTAGACTCATTGAGTCAAATTCTCCTGTTCAAAAGGGAGAGGGAAAGGAATTTGGAACCAAAAGCATCAGATAGCAACAGAGAAGAGTATAAGCTATCACTAATTTGAATGTGCATTTATAGCCCATTGCTCACCCCTTGGGCCAAATGGTAGCTTTTTAGTCTAATGGAAAACCAAAATTCTTTCTGTAATGGAGCAAGGATAGAAAGGGGTGGAGAATCTTCCAGTGAGGTGGTGGTCAAGCAGGAACACTTGAAATCAAGAATGAAAGGAGGCTGGAATGATAGTACAACAGGGAGGGTGTTGACCTTGCACGTGACTGATCTGAGTTCGATCCTGGCATCCCATATGGTCCCCTGAGCACCACCAGGAGTATTTCCTGAGTGCAGAGCCAGGAGGAACCCCTGAGCGGCCCAAAAAGCCGAAAAAAGAACAAAAGGAAAGGAACCGGCTCTCTCCTCACGCACGTCCACTGCTCCTTACCGTCCCTCAGGGGTTTCCCATATTCCTGCTCCTGCTGGATCTTGCTGGGATGAAGCTGAACTGAGAGGGACTCGGGAAGTCTTCTTGAGACCGTCAACTTGTCCAGGAGTGTCTCCCGTTTTTCTGAACTGGCTGAAACCTGGGAACAAGAGGGCATGAGTAAGCTGGTAAAGGAGATTTGGTAGAACAGAAACATTTGAGAGACAAATCAAAAGAGGCATCTGCAAGAGACTCAGGAAAGGGGACACTCTTTATTCAACTGCAAACAGCAGTTGTGGAGGTGAGTCAGGCTAATTCTGACTGTTCAGGACACTGGCTCAAAAGCCACTCTCTGCTGCAGCAATCTGCAGAAGTTCAGAATCACACAGGCCTTGGGACTCACAAGGGCCATTTTTCTGGTGGGGAGTCACACCCAAGCAGTGCTCCAGGCTTTCTCCTAGATCTGGGCTCAGGGATCACTCCTGGCAGGGTTCAGGGGATGGAACCAGGTCAGCTGCATGCAAGGCGAGTGACAGCTTCTATACTATTGCTCTGGCCCCTAGAAGGTACTTTTAAAATCATCCAGGCCCACTGACCCACATAGGAGCATTTCTTGGTGAACTGTAATTTCCAGTAAGATTACAACTAGCAAATGTGGCTTCTGCACACGCGAGATGTGACTAGGATAAACTGAGATTAAACAAAGTGTAAAAATATACAATAAATTTTAAAATCACATGGAAAAAACCCACCTCATTTTTATATTGTTTGCCTAACAGTATAGGTTGAATTAAATAACATTTTATTTGTTTTGATTTTTAACATGTGGCCATTAGGGTCAGAGATAGTTCAGGGGTTAAGGCTCATGCCTTGCAATTCTACCAATTCCAGCACCACCTCTGAGCACAAAGCCAGGAACATCCCCTGAACACGGTCTGAGGTGACTCAAGCCCCCTTCTCCCTGCCGCCAAATGAATCACCGTGGCTATTAAAAATCTTCAGTTACACAGGATCCAGCTCATTTCTTTTGATTTCTTTAATCGAGTCACCATGAGATATAGTTATAAAGATTTCATGTTTGAGTTTCAGTCATACAATCAAATACCCATCCCTCCACCAGTGCACATTTCCCACCACCAATGTCTCCGGTATCCCCCCTCCCCATCCAAGCCCTCCCTCTGCCCATACTCTCTCTCTCTCCTTTTGGTCCAGCCCATTTCTGGTGGGCCAGTGCTATTCTGTAATATCCACAGCAGCACCCTGAAAGCAAACTCCAACAGTCCTGTACCAGGTAGCCCCCATTTTCTTTACAGGGAGCTCAAAATGGTAGAGAATTCTTTGTGTTTCTCTGAGACCTACTTGCCTTCCTGTAACTTGTCACTGATCCCAACTTTTCAAACTGGCAGGATCAATCTAGTGCTTCTGTTTACATAGCCACACTTGGCTGAGCACTGGCTGTGAGGCTCCTCCCCAGGCTGCCTGTCCTTCTCTGCGGGAGCACTAAACACCTCCCTGTGTCCTTTCGTTGCCCTTTGCTGGGTCTCCATCCCCCCACCAAAGCTGACTGTCCCTGTCGCCATCCCACCTGCTTTGTTGGCACATCCAGTTCCCTTTCCCGGCTCTCCAGCACAGCCACGGCCTCCTCTCCAGTCTCCGGGTGCTGCGCCCGCACCCATGCTTGCAGGTCCCTCGGGAGAATGCTCAGGAACTGTTCCAGCACCAGGCGGTCTAAGATCTGCTCCTTGGTGTGGCATTCTGGCCGCAGCCACCGGCGACACAGCTCCCCAAGCTGGGTAAGTGCTTCCCGGGGGCCAGGTGCGTCCTGATAGCAGAGCCCCCTAAAGTGCTGCCTGCACAGTTCCCTCCTGTGAGCACCGTCCTGGTGTGAGGTGGAGTCGGGTTCCCAGCAGTGCTCTTCCACCTTAACTCTCCCCAGGTCCGTCTCCGGCTCAGGCTTCAGGGGTGCGGTCATTCTGTGCTGTGGACAGATTAATTCTCAGTGTGAGACTGATACGGGGAGAATCTCTTAGACACCGAGACCAAATTCACAGGGAAACGCCCCAAATTGCTGTGAACATACACATGTGCATGAAGGCAAGCCAACAGGATCGGAAAAAAGTGTTGGGAGACGGTAAGAAAAAACATCGCTAACACCACACATTCGAAACTGATCTCTCCTGTGCCATTTATTTATTTATTTAGGTTTTTGGGCCACCCCTGGCAGTACTCAGGGATTATTCTGGGCTGGAGCAATAGCACAGTGATAGGGCGTTTGCCTTACACCCTGCCGACCCAGGTTCGGTTCCTCCGCCCCTCTCGGAGAGCCTGGCAAGCTACCGAGAGTATCTCGCTGGCATGGCAGAGCCTGGCAAGCTCCCCATGACGTATTCGATATGCCAAACACTGTAACGACAAGTCTCACAATGGAGATGTTACTGGCCCGATTGAGCAACTCGATGAACAACAGGAGGACAGTGCTACAGGGAACTCAGGGTTCACTCCTGGCAGGCTCTGGGGAGCATACGGGATGCCAGGCAAGATGGAAGCCGGGTAGGCCGCGTGCAAGGCAAATGCCCTGGTGGGTGTCCCAACGCTCCTGGCCCCTCTGCGGTGCGGTGGAGAGCAAAGCTGGTTACCCAGGAGCTAGAGCCTCGTCTGTCAAAATCTCCTGGTGCAGATGTGTACATTAAATGAGCTCTGGCAGCTGCCATCCGGAAGCCCTGAGCAAACTCCAGGTACGCTAAGGGCGTGAAAAGATGCCCTTCACGCCACATCTCCGGGGATGGGGTACCGGCGTGGGGAGGCCGGCGAGAGGGGAGACACGGGTCGAGCGGGCAGCGCCGCTTCAGCCCGCGTCCCCTTCACTTGGTCCAAATCCTGTGTGGTAGGAGCCGGGCAGCGCTGGGCAGGCGTGCTGCTGACCCTCTGGGGACTGCCCGCGCCCCCCCAGCAACCGGGAGTCCGGCTACTCACCTCGCACTAGGCGTGGAACAGGTGTGACAGATGCGTTCTTAAGGCGGCCCCAACAAAGCTGGGCTGCAACGGACCAATCAGCGCCCGGCGTTCCGGGCCGCTCTAGGAAGCGTCGCCTCGGTGGCAGCGGCGGGACTTCTCGCCTCCCCTCTAGCCCGTGGAGGACTGAGCGCCCTTGTTGGGTGAGCCGCGGTCCCGCTAAGTGGGACTGGGATGCCTTTTTTCTTGGTTTTAGGGCCACACCTGGCTCTGGGGCACTCCCCATATGGTGACTCCTCCTGGCTGTGCTTGGAGGACCATATGCGGGGCCGGGGTCGGACCAATTGCTGGCAAGCGCCTTATCCCACCAGCAGCTCTTTTTGAAAGGTCCCCCCTCCCCCCCAAGACGCTTTGTAGGCTGGAGCACAGGACACAGGGATTGGGTGGCATCCCTGGCAGTGATGGTCCCCAAGCATCTTCTGTGCACTGCCAGGTGTAACCTAGCTCACCTCCCCCGCCCCCAACAAATAAGAGCCCTCAACCCGATAACGCTATCTAATGATGCATCTGCAAAAGGATTGATATTTAAAAAGCATAAATGGTCTCTAGCTTTGCCAGCGTTTGGTGCGCCACATCTAATGTCCCACAGTGTTGTGTGCATGTACAGAATTACAGTTTAGCCTCGCGCCACCCCAACATAGTAACATCTCTGCACCTTGTTTTATTTACTCCTAGGACTGGTTGTTGGCTGTTGAGATTGTATATAAAGGGTTCCCGCTATTGCAGGTGTTTTGATTTAAAAAAATTTTGCCACACCCCGCGGTGCTCAGGGTCTACTCCTGGATCTTCGCTCAGGATCACTTTCGGCGATGCTCTGGGGTGCTGCATATCAAAGCCAGTGGACTGCGCTGCATGCAACCCCCCTGAGCGCTGTACTATTGTTCCGGCCCCTCTAGTGTGTGTTCTTTTGAAGAAATAAAGCTATATAGTGCCCAATTGCTTATAAGTGCTATAAATTAGGGTGTTGTTTCCAGTCTCTTGCAAAGACTGCTGAGATAAAGTACTGCAAACACATTTCTCATGTGCAACGATCTACCACCTAGTACACATTCATAGGAATATCATTACCGGCTCCCAGAATATTGGCATTTGTCCTTTTGTTAGTGCCAAATTACTAATCAGAGAACCTGATGGCTGATTTTTGTTTACAGTTGTCAGATAATGCTGTAAAATGATTTCATTTTTGCCAACTAGATGAGTGAGAAATGCTTTAAGGTCTCCCTCCCTCCCTCCCTCCCCTTCCTTCCTTCCTTCCTTCCTTCCTTCCTTCCTTCCTTCCTTCTTTCTTTCTTTCTCTCTCTCTCTTTCCCCACCTCCCTTATTCCCTACACAAATACTGACTTAGGATTCCACCACCATTCTGGAAACTATGTGATACTCTTGGGCATGTGCATGTGTGCCTATGTGGTATGTACATCTGTCATAGCAGAAAGACAACAGTGGAGTTTCCAGTGAGAATTAAGTAATGCAATTTAAAATAGGGTCATCACCACGAACCTCATTAGGAAAATGACATTTGAACAGAGATGCGTGAGCAAACTATCAGGGGTAAGATAAATTTAGGGAGAGTACCAAAAAGGACCAGTGTGTTTGAAATATTCCAAGTACACAAAAAAGAAAAAAAAATCATTCCAGGTATGGAAAGGAAGTTTGGGGCCCAATAGTACAGAGGGTATGGCACTTGCCTTGCATGTGGCCAACCCACATTCTATCCCTGGCATCTCAGGATTCCTGAGCCCCATCAGGAGTGATCCCTGAGGAGTAAGTTCTAAGCACCACTCAAATACCTGCCCCTTCTCCCCCAAATGGGACGATCTGTAAGCACTGCTTCGGCTATTTCACTCCCCACTCCTGGCCTTAGCTGACCTTCTCTTGTGGAGAGTAGTTAATTAGGGACGGTGATTAATCTCTTTAGTTGAATATTCTTCCCCTCCTCACCCCTACTACTGCAGTCATGCTAATTCCCCAAGAGTACCTTTCCCCCTATTTCAACTTCCCCAAACTCTGCTCTTTCAGTAAAAGAGGGCCAGAGTGACAGTACAGAGAGTTACGGAGTTTGTCTTGGATGTAGCTGATCTGATCCCTGAGTGCAACACCATGAGTAATCCCTGAGCACTGAAAACAAAACAGTCAATGAAGAGTCACAACTCAGGCTCAAATACCTCCTGCCCACAAACGCCTCTCATATACAAAACAGCAGGCCCGAGAACAAGAGGAAAAAAGAAGACACAGTGATCTTTCCTTCATCGCAGTCAGTTATTTTTTTAATTCAGCGTTTTCACATTTTGCTCTTACATCAGTAGGTTTTCCCGCTTGTGAATTCTCTGATGTTGACTAAGGTGTGAGCTCTGACTGAAAGCTCTTCCACACTCACTGCACTGATAAGGTTTCTCTCCGGTGTGGACTCTCAGGTGCCGAATCAGGTGTGAGCTAACTCGGAAGGTTTTTCCACATTCACTACATTCATAGGGTTTCTCTCTGGTGTGTATTCTTTGATGCAGGATAAGGTGTGAGTTCAGGCTAAATGCTCTGCCACACTCTTTGCATTTAAAGGGTCTTTCTCCAGTGTGAACTCTCTGATGTCTAATGAGATCTGAGCTCCCGCCAAAGCCCTTCCCACACTCAGTACATTCATAGGGTCTCTCTCCAGTGTGGATTCGCTGATGCCTAGTAAGTTTTGAGCTGTGTCGGAAAGCCTTCCCACATTCCCTGCATTGATGGGATTTCTCGCCACTGAAAATAGTCGTATGTTTAATGAGGTTTGGGTTCTTGAGAGATTTTCCATATTGATAAATGTTTTCTCCAGCGTAAGTTTTTTGATGCTTAATAAAATTTGAATTCCATTTGAAACTTTGGTCATAAGCACTGTGTTTATAAGAGTTCTGGGGTGTAAATTCATTTGAGCTGAGAGCGAAGCTTCTCTCACATCCTTCATGACTTATGTCAGCTGTAAGTGTATTTTTGTGGGTAAGGATTTTACTGTAACCTCCATCCTGAGCAGATGTTTTCCGAGTCTCCCCTGCTCCTTCCCCCCAGGACTTCTTAATTTTGCTCGCAGACTTGCAGATGTCTTGAGGTTCAGCAGATCCTTCTGATTTGAATCCCGAGATTCTTCCTGACACAATTCCCTGTGATTCTATTTTTTCATAAATGTCTAGTTTTGGCAGGGATCCAGTGTTTTCACTCTCATGATCTAAAGTAATTGAGAAAGAAAAAAGAAAACCCGTTTTCTAAGCTAGCTTAAGTTTGTGGTCTATTCAAGATAGTTATACTGATACTTTGGTTGGCTATTGAAATAATATCTTTCTCATGAGGCATTGTCAAATAGTGTTATTTCAAAGAATATTATTTTTAAAATGAACAAAAGCTGTATTATTAATCTTATCCCATATGCTCTTTAGCGTCTGAATTACCATATTCTATAAAAGCAACCGTTCTCTGAAGCACTGGTCCAGGCCAGGGAAGCTGCAGAGCTGTTACTACACGTGCGCAATTTCACCTTCAATCAAGCAAATCCTGAAAGCAAGCATATCCTGGTGTCTGCGTCCCAGATCGGCATGATTCCTAATGGCACTTGCTTCTGGGTCATATTGCTGAGAAATAAAGGGCATATTTACTTAAAAAAATAATAATCCTGGGCCAGACAGATAGTACAGGGAGAAGGGCACTTGCCTTACACGTGGCTGACCCAGGTTCGATCTCCGACACCCCACAGGGCCCCCTGAACTCGCCTGGAGTGATCCCTGAGCACAGAGCTAGGAGTAAGCCCTGAGCACTGCTGGGTGTGGCCCCAAACCCCAAAAAACCATATATAACTTGATGAGTCTATCAATGATGGTGTAACTGACGTGTATATCATCATGTATCTATCTCTCTTCTCTTTCACTGTATGTACTTTCCTATCACGTTTTATGTCCACGTGTTTCTGTTTTGCTTTTTGTCCCCCTTGTGTTCTGATATTTTCTCAAGACATCACTTTTCTCCACCTACCACAGTCTAGAAGGAGCAGGGTTTCCGAAGAACCATGAAGGATCTTTGTGTCCACTGGCTGAAACTGGGCATTAAGTCCTGGTCCAGGAGGCACTGCCTTTTTCTTGAATATTTCCTGTCCATATCCATGTACTGGAACCTAAGAAAAACAAAGTACATTTGTGCTTATGAGAGAATCTCTGTTGAAATTCAACTTCTCCCCCAAACCACGAACCTCTAGTCACTGTCACTGTCCTCCCGTTGTTCACTGATTTGCTTGAGCGGGCCCAGTAACATCTCCATTGTGAGACTTGTTACTGTGTTTGGCATATTGGATACATCATGAGCAGCTTGCCAGGCTTTCCCTTGTGGGTGAGATACTCCCGGTAGCTTGCTGGGCTCTCTGAGAGGGGTGGAGGAATTGAACCCAGGTCGGTTGGGTCGGTTGCATGCAAGACAAACATCCTACCGCTGTGCTATCACTCCAGCCCACGAGCCTCTAGTAGAGCTATATAAGAGGGGAAGGAAGAACTAAGTATGGCTCAACTGGAAAACAGACAGACACACAGACACACAGAGAGGAAGGGAGCCATAAGTGAGTCCATAACACTAAACTACTAGTGCCCAGTTTGCTCTCACCGAGCGATTCAATCTGAAGCAATCTCTAATTCAGGTCAATCTAAAGGCCCTTCCTCTCAAACTGTGTATGCGTGTGTGTGTGGGAGGGAGGGGGGGTTCCACCATTCCGGAGCCCTGAGATCTCTGATCCCCTTTATACCTGGAGTACAACTTCATGCGCGCCTTTCTCCAAGTCTTCCACGATGGTCACGGCCTCCTCTCCACTCTTTGGGTAATGCTCACGGACCCAGGCCTGCAGGTTCCCGGGCAGGATGGTCAGGAACTGCTCCAGGACCAGCAGTTCCAGCATCTGCTCCTTGGTGTGGGTCTCCGGCTTCAGCCACTGGCGGCAGAGCTCCCTGAGGCGGCTCAGGACCTCGCGCGGCCCAGGGGAATCCTGGTAGCAGAACTGCCGAAAAAGCTGCCGGCAAAGCTCCTGTCTCAGGGGATCACTTTTCAGAAAGCACGTTTCCTGCCTCCAGATAAAATCTTCCTCTTCGATCTTTACGATGATAAATCCTTCATCTTCCTGAAGGTTTTGAGCCACCGATTCTGTGGTCATCTTAGGGTATTATATATAATCAAAAACTCCACTTCTGTTTTGTGAAGGGTCTTATTTAGTTTCAAGAGCTTTCTTGAGAGATTAAAAAAAAGTTACTACGATGATGAAACATTACAACATAGAAATAGTCATTCTCCATCACACAAAAAATTACTGACCAGGTGTCAGGGAAAACCTACTCTGTGAATTGTAACTGTTACATAATATCTACCTCAAAGTTGATTCAAATGGAATAAAAACAAGATTTACCAGACTAATGGAATGGATCTGGGAATCCAGAGATAAACCCTATGTTATACAAACAGAAATAAACCTTTGTTATATAATGAATAAGAGCTTTCATAATGTGCAGTGGACACTACTTCCACTACCCAGCCGTCGCCACACTCCAGGATGCTTTCCGGACCCACGTGGCCGCAAAGCGGCTGAGCGACACATGATAAGACACTAAATACCCATCTTCCGGAATTGTCGTACCGTATTTGATAGGGTTCAAATATGGTAACACCTACAAGGGTGATTAGAGGTCGCCCCAAAAGCCTCTATCACTCTCGGAAAGACTGGCAAGCTACCGAGAGTATTCCGCCCGCACGGAAGAGCCTGGCAAGCTATCCCTTGTGTATTCGATATGCCAAAACCAGTAACTACAACTGGTCTCATTCACCTGACCCTGAAGGCTTCACCGACATGGCAGCACTGAGAAGGATGAGAAAGGAGAGGCCGACAAAATCTCAAGGCCGACCTAGGCTGCCACAATGAAGGAAGACAAAAATGATCGTCTGTACTTTCAATGCACGTACGCTAGCATCAGATGCATCCATCAAGGACCTGATGGTACAAGCGCAAATGATCAAGTATGACATTGGTCTGACCGAGACAAGAAGGCACGAATCTCACCATGCCGTTTTCGACACTGGAGAAGAATTGTTCCTCGGAACATGCGATAAAAGAGGTGTTGGAGGCGTCGGTGTCCTTGTCAACACAAACTTGGCCAAGAGCATTGATTCATTCGAATGCCTAACAACCTGAACCGGACGTTTACATTTGAATAGATGTGGCTCACTGCCTGCAGTTTCTATCTTCGTTGTCTACGCACCAACATCTCATTATGATGAAAGAGAAATCGAGAAGTTCTACATGGAGCTAGAGAAGTTCTATAAAGAAGACCACACCTTCTACAAGATCATTGTGGGTGATTTTAATGCCAAGATAGGACCGAGAAGATCAGCTGAAGAACTTCACATCGGGACCCATGGCCTACAATGGAACGAACAGGGTGAGAGACTGTCTGTGTTCATCATGTCGACCAAGACCATTCATGGTAACTCACAGTTCCAGAAGGCAGAATCTAAACGATGGACATGGGAGTCTCCCAGTGGACGATTCCACAACGAAATAGACCACATCATATTCAATCGACGGTTTTGCCTGACTGATGTCGCTGTTGTCCCAAAATTTCGAACAGGATCGGACCACCATGTCCTTCGTGCAAAATTCTACTTCACAGAGTGGGGAGAAAGGGCTGCAAAGTTCAAAAAGAGAACTCCCAGAACGACCACCAACTGGGAACTCTTTGGCACTATTGTGGCAACATGGGAAGATGCCATTGTTGACAACATTGACGAGGAATACGATCGACTGGTTCAGCACCTCCATGAATGTGCGAGGAATGCCAAGAGAGAGATAGCCACAAAAAATCGCCTATCTTCGAAAACTCTTGAGCTAATTTGCCAGCGTGGTTTGGCGCATGCCTCAGGCAACCGCAAGTAACGTCTGAGCTCGCAAAGCAGTGCAGAGATGCGATCAAGGAAGACCTCAAAGAGAGAAGAGTAGAAATACTGGTAGATGCGGCAGAAGCCGGGAAAAGTATTCATAACACCCGCCTGTCCTTCGCCAACTACAAGACCAAGATGACTGCCCTCCGATGTCCTGATGGATCCATCACATCCTCCAGAACGGCAATGGAGAAGATTATCCATGACTTCTACTCAAATCTCTTCGATAGCCATGTCCACTTGCCGACATACCAAATTCCACAGGATGGATATGTCGTTCCCAACATTCTCCCTTCTGAAATCCGACAAGCCATTTCGTCGGTAAAGAAACAAACAGCACCCGGCCCAGACAAGGTTAGACCTGAACACCTGAAGAACCTGCCGTCAGTATTCATCAATACACTGGCTCGGCTCTTCACTCGCTACCTGTCTGAATGCAAGGTTCGTCCTAATGGAAAACCAGCAGGACCGTACTGCTGTTCAAGAAGGGAGACATCCATGACATTGGCAACTATCGTCCGATCTGCCTATTGTCTGTCATCTACAAGTTGTTCACTCGAGTCATCCTATTTAGGATTGGCAGAACACTAGATGAAGGACAACCATGCGAGCAAGCCGGGTTCCGCAAAGGATTCAGCACCATCGACCATATCCACACGATAACCAAGCTCATTGAGGTTTCTCGGGAATTCAAGATGCCGCTCTGTTTAACGTTCATTGATTTAAAGAAGGCCTTTGATTCTGTTGAGACGGAAGTGGTCATTGAAGCCCTAGCCAATCAGGGCATTCAAGCCCAATACATCAGGATCCTCCGTGAGCTGTATTGTGGATTCACTACCAGGATCTCACCATTCTACAAAGAAGTGATCATTGATTTCAAGAGAGGGGTGCGGCAGGGTGATACCATTTCACAGAAACTCTTCAGTGCCACCCTCGAGAACATCATGCGACGACTGGAATGGGAAGGAATGGGAGTGAAGATAGATGGTCAGCAACTACACCACCTCCGCTTTGCTGATGACATTGTTTTAATAACACCAAACATCAGCCAAGCAGCACAAATGCTGGCCGACTTTGACCGTGAGTGTGGAAAGGTAGGACTACAGCTGAATCTTACGAAGACAATGTTTATGAGAAACAGCCTTGTTCCTGACACTCCATTTGTTCTCAACGGAACGACCATCTCCGAATGCAACAGCTTTGTGTACCTAGGTCGAGAAGTCAACATGACAAATGACCTGGCACCCGAGCTGCGCAGGAGGAAGAGAGCAGCTTGGAACGCCTTCAAGAACGTCGAAGAAATAGCTAAGAGAACGAAGAACCTCCAGCTCTGGGCACATCTCTTTGATTCCACTGTTCTTCCTGCATTAACATGTGCCTCAGAGATCTGGGCCCTACGCAAACAGGATGAGAACGCTATTCAGATCTCCCAAAGAAGAACAGAAAGAGCTATGCTTGGAATATCACGTTTCACTCAAATGAGAGAAAGAATCCGGAATTCTGACATCCGTCGACGATCAAGAATCAGGGACGCTGTCTCATTTGCCAAGGTGTCGAAAATCAGATGGGCTGGTCACATAATGAGATTTAAAGACGACCTCTGGACTAGAGCTGTTACCGACTGAATTCCACGGGATGTCAAAAGACCGCGTGGCCACCTACCTACCAGATGGTCAGACTTCTTCGTGAAGATCATGAACGATTGGTTTGAGGCTCTTCATGTTCCCAGAGCGAACAGATGCCACTGGGCTACACTAGCATGCGACAGGGACAAATGGAGACGTTTCTGGTGCCCGCTCGAGCAAATCGGCGACTAACAGGAAGTTAAGTGATTAAATGATTAAGTGATAATGTATAGCAATATTGATATAACACACACATATAACATGATATCTTAATATACAATATGTACAAAAGGAGCTGGGAAGGTCTTGGACAAAGAGTTAGTCACATGCCAAAAAATATATATTTTCTCCTGAACCCCTATTTTGTATCATTTGCACAAGTAATTAACAAATGGATCATTTTTGTTTAGCTTTAAGTTTTTGGGTGACAACCATTTGTGCTGAGGTTGGCTCTGTGCCCAGGGGTCACTGTTGTCAGTTTCAGGCATTAAACTGGGGTGGTCACATAAGTGACTTATCTTTTGTACTATCTCTCTGACCCCCAAATAGATTAACTTTCTCAGGTGATTTTGATACAAATTCATTATATAAATTGAGAAAACCACAGGCAGAACTCTCCCTGATACTTATTTCAAAGGCATCTTTAATGACTTGATGCCACTGATTCAGAAAAGGTGCAGAAATAAATGTACATTAAACTAAATCTTATCAATCTTTAAAAATGATAGTTAATATAGGAGTGATAGCACAGCAGTAGGGCGTTTGCCTTGCACGCAGCCAACATGGCCGACCCGAGTTCAATTCCTCCGGCCCTCTCGGAGAGCCCGGCAAGCTACCGAGAGTATCTCGCCCGCACGGCAGAGCCTGGCAAGCTACCCATGACATATTTGATATGCCAAACACAGTAACAACAAAGTCTCCAATGGAAACGTTACTGGGCCCGCTCGAGCAAATCGATGAACGATGGGAGGACAGTGACAGTGACAATATAAAAAGAAAGGATGCTTACAGTGCCAGAATGATAGTGCAGTAGGTAGGGTCTTGCGTTGCAAGCATCCACCCTGGTTCAATACCCCACACTCCATATGGTACCCAGGCTCTGCCAGGAGTGAGACTATACATATCAAAAAGAGCAGGCACAAAACGCAACAAAAATTCCCACCCAAATTTGGCAAGAGGAATTAAGGTTTCCTAAAAGAAGACATACAAATGGCCAATAGGAATACGAGAAAATGCTTATCACCAGTAATTATTAGGGAAATGCATATCAAAAATACCACCTCTACCAATGAGAAGAGCCTACCTCAGGAAGTCTAGAAACAATAAGTGCTGACTTGTGGCAAATGGACAAGATGGAGGTTACAGTAAAATCCTTACCCACAAAAATACACTTACAGCTGACATAAGTCAAGAAGGATGTGAGAGAAGCTTCACTCTCAGCTCAAATGAATTTACACCCCAGAACTCTTATAAATTGGGATGGGTCACATAAGTGACTTATCTTTTGTACTATAAACACAGTGCTTGTGACCAAAGTTTCAAATGGAATTCAAATTTTATTAAGCATCAAAACACTTACGCTGGAGAAAACATTTATCAGTATGGAAAATCTCTCAAGAACCCAAACCTCACTAAACATACAACTATTTTCAGTGAGGAGAGATCCCATCAATGCAGGGAATGTGGGAAGGCTTTCCGACACAGCTCAAAACTTACTAGGCATCAGCGAATCTACACTGGAGAGAGACCCTATGAATGTACTGAGTGTGTGGGAAGGGCTTTGGCGGGAGCTCAGATCTCATTAGACACCAGACAGTTCCCACTGGAGAAAGACCTGGGAGAGGGAAATAGGAAACCACAAAGAAAAAACCAGAACTGGTAACAGGCTGGAAAGCAAAGTGCAGTAGATTTGTAAAAAGCGTTTTTAGTTTGTTTTTGAGCCACACCCCCTGTTGCTTGGGGGCTACTGCTACCTCTGGTCTTAGGGATTGCATCCAATTGTGCTAGGGGTCCATATGGTATTACTGGGCCATAAACACAGATCTCCTGCACGCAACTGTCTCTCGGGATCTCTATGAGGATATTATCGAGGCAAAAGTGTTTACTGCACAATGTCTCAAATGGCAAATTTATGGATTCAGAATTTATCTCTTGAACCTAGAGGTGCCAAGGAAAACTTTTGAGCCAAGTAACCCGACAAATGCCCTGTTCCTGGGGGGCTCATGCAGGCCGAGCTGCAATATGAAAATACAGAAACACAGGCAGTGTGAAAACACCAACCTAGAACCTAAGAGGTTGCTATTCAAAATCTAGAGATAGGATTGCTAATAACTATCTTATGTAACAAAACAAGGCCACTTTTCTTGAGAGCCACAGATGAATGATTTCAGTCATTCATGAAGTGACTGGTTCCTTCTTCAGAAGTCTCAGTGAGCTTTTTTTCTTGGCCTCAGCAATTCCCTCCCTGCTTTTCCAGTCTCATGGTTCAGTTCATGAGGTCTATCATTTCATCAACGAAACATAACAAGCACCTGGCTTGCTTATCACTCTTCTCTAAGCCATGCTATTGTATCAGTTTGTCAAATATCATCTCCATGTGTGTGGATCTGGTTTCAGAACTGAAAAACTAAGTTTCACTATATTAGAAGTGAAAGGTACAAAAACAAATGAAAATATCAATTTTTTAGGTCCTTCCACTAAACATTTCTACCAAGCTGGTTACAGTTTTGTTGCACTAACATATGCTCCCTTAAGAATCATAACATAAATAAGGTAGTACAGAGACAGGGTGCTTGCTTTGCTCCTGGCCAATCTGGGTTCGATCCCTGGCACCCCATGTAGTTCCCTGCGCCCACCAGAAGTAATCTGAGTGCAGAGACAGGACTAAGCCCTGAGTATGGTTGTGATCCCCCAAAACAAAAAATCATAACACAAAGGAAACAAGCGATGGACCAGAAGTTGTATGGCATTGGTTTCCAAAAAGTCTGAGTGTAGAGCAGGTTCACTGCCCAATCATTAGGCGGGATTTCATTTGAGACAGAATCTTGAGAACTGCCCTGGAAAGTTAACTCAGTTGATACAGAGATCTGCCTGAAAATCTGTAATTTTCATATGCAGATAAAAGAAAGATTATGCTGACTTTGCAAAATAGCCGAAATGACATAAACTATACGTGCAGAAAACATTAAATAAATATTTCATATGGAACACAAGTACTTCTATGGTAGTGACACTGCATATTCTAATCTCTCTGAGAGAGAGAGAGAGTATTTGTTACGTGTGCAAAGCAGCAAATATTTTGTAGGGAAGTGGAGGGCTCAAACTGGCAAATAAAGGTGGACACGACCAGAGAAGACTTTGAGGACATGGGAAGGAAGTGCAGATTGCACAAGGAGCAGCTCTCCGGTATGGTAACGGGAGAAATTGAGAATTCCACCACTGCCAGCGGCGCATCTGGAGTTCGCCCAGTTCCCACCATCACGCCTGTGACCACTACACTGTGCGCATTCCCACCAGAGCCAGCGAAGTGGGCGGCGCTGTTTATTGCTGCCCCCCGCCCCCCAACAAAGACCAAGAGCTCTGTTTTACTGACCCGCTGGTGGGCAGGAGCGCACGAGCACCTTTGGGGGAACATTCCGAGGTTACCAAGGTTGCGCGGCAAGTCAGGACCATCTCGAGGACATCCGGAATGCAATCCCTAGTTAGGTCCACCCGCCCCGGGGCGCCAGCGACCCAGCGTTGCTCAGGGCTCAACCCTGCACTCAGGGATCACCCAGGGCAAGGCTGGAGGTGGGGCGCACAACGGGTGCCCGGAGATGGAACCCAGGTCGGCAAGGCAAGCGCCCTCTCCGCTGTCCTAGGTTCCTGCCCCTGGGGGGAGGGGGTCCCCAGTGTCCTACGGTTCCAGCCCCTGGGGGGAGGGGTCCCCACCGTCCTACAGTTCCAGCCCCTGGGGGGGAGGGGTCCCCACTGTCCTACGGTTCCAGCCCCTGGGGGGAGAGGCCCCACACGGCGTGGCGGCTACCCGGTAAGACTCAGGGGCAGATGGGGGAGTGGGGGGGGGGCTTCAGGGCGCATCCCTGCCGGGGAGGACCCCCAGCACCCTTTTCTCGCATTCTCCCACACTCCCCTGGTTCTTGAATGAGGGCGGGGGGAGGGATTCCGCGTTGGTCCCCCGGCACTCCCCGGGGACCCAGGCACGCACGAATCTACCGCGTGGGTACTTGGCTCCAGGCCGCTTCTCCTGTAAAATAAGCGGGTCCCAGGAGGAGCAGGCTCCGGGGTGGCGCCCGCCCATCCGGGTGGGACGCTCCGTGTCCCCCACCCCGGCCCGCGTCCGCGGTCAGCAGCGCCCACACGCCGCAGGCGCAGCGAGACGCCCCCCCCCCAACCACGCCCCTCGAGCCCTAAGTGCGGACGTCACAGGCGGCGGGGGTTGCCATGGCAACGCCGCCCGGCTCCGGAGGCGGCGCGAGAGCCTCCTCCGTCCTCCCCGGCCCACCCGGCCCCGGCCCTGGTCCTCCTTCTCCTGGAGTTTCCCGAGGCTCCGGATCCAGGTCGCCGCATAAGCGTCGCAATCGCACACAGGGCGGACTCCGGGCTGGGCGTCTGACAGGGGACAAAGGACCCGGCACCTGGGGCCCCGAACTCGGACTCACCTCTCCCGCAGGGCTGGTTCCGACCGGACACTTCCGGTCGCGGACGGCCAGGCAGGCTTTCAAGCCTTCATCTGAGTCTGCGCGCCTGCGGAGCGGCGGCCGTGGACTACAACTCCCAGAAGCCTCTGCGGCTCCCTCGGCGACCTGACTCCATTTCCCAGGTGTCTTTGGGGCGGCACCGAGGAGGTGGAGCCGTTTCTTGGCGTCACTTGGGCGCTCTGGGAACCTCGTGTTCGTGTTTTGAGACGCTGGACCCCCACGGTAGAGGGGCATGCTCAAACTCCATCGTTGCAGAATCTTCCTGGACTCCTAGCCAGCCTTTTTCCGAATCTGACCTTGGTGGTACGCAGGTTTGTGAAAGATTAACTGAACGTCAGGACATCCATGCCTGCCCCTGAAGTGTTAACCGTCTTGAATCGATCCTGATGGACAAGCACTAGAGCATTGACAATAATTTGCCTTTCTTGCACCTTTCCGTACCCCCACTCATCTGTGATAGAATTAAAAGTCTTGCGTTTATAGTTCCTGATGTAGAGTCAGGAGGAGAGAAAGACGGGTACCTTCTCCCAATCCACCTCTGCCACCTGGACCCACTGGGAAGACTAGGACTGGGAAAGTCTGCGATGAGCCTCAGCCCGGTCAGCCCCAGCAGGCGACTGTCAGGCCACACCTGAAGTCTATTTGGTCTTCCAGGCCTGGGAGTTGATTATCTCAGGGAGCCACGGACTTGGGTTGGAGCGAGGATTTGCTCTTTGCAGAAAAGGAGAGTCCAGTCTCAGGCCTGACCCAGTATTTTCAGGATTCTTGTCTCGTCTGGCAGAAAGGAATTTCAGGAGTAGACAAGCAGTGAAGTGAAACAGATTTTACTCAGAGGTTTTGAGGTGGCGCAGGAAGAGAAAGTGGGAGAGAGTGGAGAGTAACGTGCGCAAGAAGGCCCCTACACACATGCCAGCATTAGACAAGAATACATGAAAGCACACATCTCAAGAGAGGCGATGTGGGTGCCACATGGGCTTGGGCAGCATGTGCGCACGCACCCTTTGGTCAAAGTGGCTTTTCTAGGGTTTTTCCAACCTTCCCCCACATGGGGCTTCTACCTAGACAAGAGTCTATTGCTAAGTGGGTAGAATTGGGTGTAGCCTTTGAAATTCCTTTTCTTGACCTGCTGGATTTTCTCAGGGCTGAATCAATCACTAAAGTTAATCGGATTAAGGGACAGGTTGTGGAGGCGTCCAATGTTCTCAGGATCCGCCGTGGAAGGTCTTATCTCAGGTCTTGCTTTCTGTACCCGCAAGGTAGGTGAGCCTTATAACTTCCCAGAAATTTCCTTGACCTAGATTGCATTGCCGAGGCCTTTTCTTGTCTATCTGCCTACATCATATCCCCCCCCTAGAAATTTCACCCCCTTAAATCTTTAAGGGGAAAATGATTGAAGTTCTGACTTCTGGAGTTGCTTCTTGCTGGCAAATGGGCGCTGACCCTGCCTGCACAAGGGGTGAAGCTCATGCTACCTTAGTATTTAATGGGCCTCAGGCAATTAATTGGTTGGGTTCCTGAAGATATCTAAAAGAAAAGATCACATTATAAGACTGGAACAACTTAGTGACTGTATCTCACGGTGATTGAATTTTTTTTTCTTTTTGGGTCACACCCAGCGATGCTCAGGGGTTACTCCTGGCTCTTCACTCAGGAATTACTCCTGGCAGTTCTGGGGGACCATATGGGATGCCTATTCTTCCTGGGCAGTATGGGCCTCTCCCCCCCGCTAGTAGTTGTTGGTGCCCACCCAAACCTATGGAGGCAGCTGCAGCATTTAAGGAGGCCGGAAGGCCGGGGCATGACATTGCTGCTGATTCTCCTCGTGTCGCCCTCAACCTTGCAGCACATTGCAGCAGATTCTCCCTTCCACAAAGGCTTCTCATCCTAAAGGCTCTGAGGTCATTTGCTTGCGACTTACACTTGGGCTGCTGTGGGTTTGGGCTGGGGCAGCTTCTTGAGGAACTTGCACAGGGTGCAGAGCTTGGCTGTGTGTGTGTGGCGAAGGTCATGACAGGTGAGAAGACTGGACATTGGTGGACTGGACGTGAGTGGGCCAGGCCCAGTGGGCTTCCCAGGCAGCCCATATGGATCTCTCTAATTACCGCAGATAACGTCATAAGCATGGTCAGCTTCATATGGTCAATGTACCCCATGTTTGGCAGAAGAATCCTGAGTGCCGTGAGATTCATATGGAACATATGGCCCGTGTATATCAGATTTAACCACAGGGCCCTGAGATTCTTGTGATTCATAGACTTCCTTTGGGATGCATGCTCCATGTACAGCTTAGGAATCATGAGGGCCATGCAGTGTAATTGATTAATGGATGCCATCATCGTCAATACTCATGCTGTTTCATTTCTGTAAATAATGAAAAAAAAAAAGAAACAGCATGATTTAAAAAAATAACAAATCTATAGCAAAAGATCTACTAATGGAAGAATTACATAAGGAAGATATTTTACACTATTATAAAGCATTTTATTTAATTTTTAAGGTAGGAAATTAACATTTTAGAAAAATATTTATGGGTCTTCTCATGTTAACATCCAAACCAAATTATTTGATCCAACGTAAACTTCATTTGTTAAAGAGGCTACTTAAAGAGTCTCTTTTACAGCAACAAGGAAGTATTTCTAGGTTGTATAAAGAATTTTAACAGATATTTCTTTTAATTTTTTTAAAGAGCAAATTAGTGATATTAACCAAAAGGGAGGGCCCCATGGTGTAATGGCTAGCACTCTGGACCCTGAATCCAGCGATCCGAGTTCAAATCTCGGTGGGACCTAAGGCTGATGCTTTGGGCTGGAGCGATAGCACAGCGGTAGGGCGTTTGCCTTGCACGCAGCCAACATGGCTGACCCGAGTTCGATTCCTCCGCCCCTCTCGGAGAGCCCGGCAAGCTACCGAGAGTATCTCGCCCGCACGGCAGAGCCTGGCAAGCTCCCCGTGATGTGTTCGATATGCCAGACACAGTAACAACAAAGTCTCCAATGGAGACGTTACTGGGCCCGCTCGAGCAAATCGATGAACAACGGGAGGGCCTTTTTTTATAACCAAAAGTCCTTCCAACAAAATCATCTGGAACATCTGAACTCATATAATGTAACTTATGGATATTGGAACATGAACAATGATTTTGACTAAAATGAAAAATGAGTATAATCAAACTTATTTCCATCTGCAAATAATAAGGGTATGGACAGAATGGGAAGAAACATTGATCACTTGATATCCCGTTAATCATTGGTTTGTACAAACGGGTGCCAGCAAGATCTCCATTTGTCCCTTTTGCATGCTAATGTAGTCCAGTGGTGTCTACTCATTCTAGGAACATGAACAGCCTCAATCTGATTGTTCCGGGTCTTGATGAAGATGTCTGACCATCTCATAGGTGGGCATCCATGCGATCTTTTGACGTCCCATGGAATCCAGTCGGTAGTGGCTCTAGTCCAGTGGTTGTCTCCAAATCTCATCACTTGTCCAGCCCATCTGATTTTCCATGCCTTGGCAAACGAGACAGAGTCCCCGATTCTTGACCGTCAACGGAGGTCGGAACTCCGGATTCTTTCTCTCATTTGAGTGACGTGTGATACTCCAAGCATAGCTCTTTCAGTTCCTCTTTGGGAGACCTGAATTGCGTTCTCATCCTGTTTTCGTAGGGCCCAGGTCCCTGAGGCATATGTTAATGCAGGAAGAACAGTGGAATCGAAGAGATGTGCCTGGAGCTGGAGGTTCTTCATCCTCTCAGCTATGTTTTCGATGTTCTTGAAGGTGTTCCAAGCCACTCTCTTTCTCTTGTGTAACTCAGGTGCCAGGTCATTGGTCATGTTGAGTTCTCGACCTAGGTACACATAACTGTTGCATTCGGATATTTTGTCCCATTGAGAGTGAATGAAACGTAAGGAACGAAACAGTTTCTCATAAATATTGTCTTTGTGAAATTCAGCTGTAGTTCGACCTTTCCACACTCATGGTCGAAGTCAGCCAGCATTTGTGCCATTTGGCTGATATTTGGTGTTATAAGAACGATGTCATCAGCAAAGAGGAGGTGGTATAGTTGCCGACCATCTGTCTTCACTCCCATTCCTTCCCATTCCAGTCATTGCATGACGTTCTTGAGGGTGGCACTGAAGAGTTTTGGTGAAATGGTATTACCCTGACAAACCCCTCTCTTGATGTCAATGATCACCTCCCTGTAGAATGGTGAGATCCTGGTAGTGAATCCGTAATACAGCTCACAGAGGATCCTGATGTATTGACTTTGAACGCCCTGTTTGGCTAGGGCCTTGATGACCACTTCCTTCTCAATAGAATCAAAGGCCTTCTTTAAATCAATGAATGTTAGACAGAACAGCATCTTGAACTCCCGAGAAACCTCAGTGAGCTTGGTTATCGTGTGGATATGGTCGATTGTGCTAAATCCTTTTCGGAAACTGGCTTGCTCGCATGGTTGTCCTTCATCTAGTGTTCTGCCAATCCTATTCAGGATGACTTGAGTGAATGGCTTGTAGACAACAGACAACAGGCAGATGGGGTAATAGTTGTGAATGTTGTGGATGTCTCCCTTCTTGTACAGTAGTGCAGTCCTGTTGGTTTTCCATTGGGACGGAACCTTGCATTCAGACAGGTAGTGTGGGAAGAGCCGAGCCAATGTATTGATGAGTACTGATGGCAGTTTCTTCAGATGTTCGGGTCTGACCTTGTCTGGGCTGGGTGCTGTTCGCTTCTTTACTGATGAAATGACGTGACAGATTTCAGAAGGGAGAACGTTGGGAACGACATATCCATCCTGTGGAATTTGGTATGTCGGCAAGTAGACATGGCTATCAAAGAGATTTGAGTAGAAGTCATGGATAATCTTCTCCATTGCGCTTCTGGAAGATGTGATAGATCCATCAGAACTTCGGAGGGCAGTCCTCTTGGTCTTGTAGTTGCGAAGGACAGGCGGGCTTTGTGAATGCTTTTCCCAGCTTCTGCTGCATTTGACAGTACTGCTCCTCTTCTCTCTTTGAGGTCTTCCTTGATCA